GCCACTGCTGTGTGGCAGTGACCAGAGATCTACTTGTTCCCCCAAATTCTGGAGCCAGTCTTGACTCCTCTAGTTCATATATACAGGGCGTAGCACATAGTAGGTGTGCAGAGTTTATTCAATTAGCAAGTATTCATTGAGGGCCTACTGTGTGCCAAGTATTCATTAAGGGTCTACTCTGTGCCAAGTATTCATTGAGGGCCTACTGTGTGCCAGGATCTGAGGATACTTCATTGAACAAGACAGATATATTCACTGCCTTCAGGAAACTGACTGCCAAGTGGGAAGACAACGGATAAACAAATAATCTGGATAATCCAGATTGTGAGAGCCCTATAAAGAAAATGACAGGTGTGTCGGCGATAGAAAATGCCTGAGTGGCTTCTTTAGCTAGGGTAGCCCAGGTGTCATTTGAGGAGGTGGGAGTTCGGAATGGTGGGAGGTAGCCAGGCCTCCCGGTAGAGTGTTCCAGGTGGAGAGAATGGCAAGTGCCAAGGCCCCGACATAGAAAGGCGTGGCAGGTTTAAGGAGTAGCTAGAGGGCCAGCGAGGTGAGGTCACAGGAAGGCAGGGTCACTTATCTGATCCTTGAAGGTCTTAATAAAGCGTTATATTTCATTCCTAGTGTAATAGACCACCATCGGTGTGACACAGTCTGACATTTGTTTTAATCGTAAAATTGCACTTTTATTGAGCCCTTACATGTGGTGAACCCTCACATTCTTAATTCCTTTAACCCTCATGACAACCCCATGAGTTAGGGACTGTTATTCATTCCACCTTACAGGTGAGGAAACCAAGGCATGGAGAGGTCAGGTAACTTGCTCAAGTTCACAGCTGGAACTTCAGAGCCAGGTTCAAGCCCAACCCACCTGGCTTGAGTCTGTACACTTGCCCCTGGGCCATGCTGCTGCCTGCAAGGTTACTCAGGCCATGGGTGCAGAACTGGCGCAAAAGTAGAGGCTGAGAGACCTGCCGCGAGTGGGAGCCTGTGTACCTGACATCCCGCCGGCTCTGTAGGCTCCCAGGGTCCGCTCCTCCCCGGCCCACAGGCCTAGTTGGCAACACACTTCAGAGCGTCTCTGCCTGCCATGACCTGTCTCAGGCTCTGTCCTTGTCTTGCAGAAGGACAAGTTCTGCGTGTATGAGGAATATTGCAGCAACCACGAGAAGGCCCTGCGGCTGCTTGTGGAACTGAACAAGATCCCCACCGTGCGTGCCTTCCTCTTGGTAAGTGACCCGTCACCCCTGCCCCCTCTTCTGTTCGCTTCAGCCTTGTGCATCGTAGGCTAAAGAGAACTTCATGCTGCCACCTCCATGCTGCCCGATCCCTTCCTCTGCCAGAGTAATCTGTCTAAAGCAGTGATCGCCAAACACTTTCTCTAAAGGGCCAGAGAATGCATACTTTTGCCTTTGTGTGTCATACAGCCCCCGTATAGCACATAAACAGCCATAAATAAAATGTAAAGCAATGGGCATGGCTATGTGCCAATAAAGCTTTATTTACAAAAACAGGCAGAGGGCTGGATTTGGCCGTAGGGCCAAGTTTGCCAAATCCTAGTCTAAAGCAGTGATTCTAATGAGAGTGGTTCCAGAGGTAATGATGACTGTATTATTTGGGTTATTTAATTACAAGCGAAAGAAATCCAGTTAAAATTGGCTTTTAAAAAAAAAGGATTTACTGATTCTTTTCCTGGGAAGATTAAGACCTGAGCGGGCTTTAGGCACAGCAGCATCTGGGTGTTCAGATGATGTCATTAGGAATGTGTCTCTGGACTCTGCTTTTCTCTGTCTTGGCTCCATTCCCAGGCAGCTCTCCTCAAGTGGTGTCAGTGTGGTCTTCAGCAACTCCACACGTATACCCACTCAATAGCAGCGCAGCTCCAGGGTAAAGAAAATTCCTCTTTCCCAACAGTCAGGCCAAAACCCTGGGTCTGACGCTCAATGGCTTCGCCTGGCTACAGAGCTTATCCCTGAACCAGTTGCTGTAGATCAAGCAGGTCAAACTCAAAGGCTAACCCGGGTCAAATAAACAAGGTTTAAGTGTAGGTGGGCCGCAAAAAACAAAAGCTTCAATTTTCATGGAAACATAGGTTTATTTTGATAGAGACATGCTGAATACAAAGGGCTGCAATAAATGAGTCATCGTTAATGTAAAATAATAGAGCATTTTAATAAAAATCAATATATTTTCTTGAATATTAACCTACCAGACACGGAATAACTGCACAAATTAATAAGCATAACGCAAATAAACCTATTTTTCTTGTTCCCTTAAAGCGAAATATTTCCTGTTGCACACACCAAACAAGTCAGTACAAGACTAAGGATGTGGCAATCGGCTGCTAAAATATTCGCTGCTAGTATTAGTGGAGAAAAACGGTGTGCCTGCGCGTAAGGCGCGGAAGAGAAATGAATGCAGCACGATTATAGTAATCAGTCATTAGTGAACGTTGTAGTTCGTTATTAATCATTATGTATAACAGGATATTGTAAAAATTAGATTATGAAATTTTTAATAAATTTCATTTATTAAAATGTTTCTTACCTACCGTTATATTGGCTGGGCCGCAAAAATATTCGTTGTGGGCCACATGCAGCCCTTGGGTGCGAGTTTGCCAAGCTTGCTGTAGATAGAGGGATTGGTTAGGGCTCTGATTGGTCCCTTCTGAGCTGGAGGGCGGGGTCAACTCCCACATATCACAGGCCCTAAGGGTGTGGTGGATCCTTAAAGAACAGTTTCTACTTGTGGAAGTAAGTTGGGAATGGATGTTGATCAGGCAAAGCACTAGACATCCGTGCTGGCCTTCCCTACCACTGCAGAGAGCTTCCCTGGTGTGTAAAGTGGGTTCTCATTTGTGATCTCCTTGGGGCTTGACCAGCCACCGTTGTGTATGAGTTAAGATACATGTGTGCTTGGTGGCATTTCCAGACATCCCAAATAGCAGTGGTTTAAACAAAGTAAGCATTTATTTCTCTCCCATGTTAACGTGATGTAGACAGTCTGGGGTTTCCAGTGTCAGGGGCCAAGGCCCTAGACCAGTGATGGCAAACCTTTTGAGCTCGGCGTGTCAGCATTTTGAAAAACCCTAACTTAACTCTGGTGCCGTGCCACATATAGAAATTTTTTGATATTTGCAACCATAGTAAAACAAAGACTTATATTTTTTGATACTTGTTTTATATATTTAAATGCCGTTTAACAAAGAAAAATCAGCCAAAAAAATGAGTTCGCGTGTCACCTCTGACACGCGTGTCATAGGTTCGCCATCACTGCCCTAGGGTGTGCCCTCATTAATGTGGTCTAAAAAGACCTCTTCTCTCTTCCACATTCAGGTAGTGGGAACTGCATTCAGGTAGTGGGTGGGAAGGAAGGACTGCCTTTCTCCTTGTAAGGGTACAACAGGTAGTGGGCACACATCTCTTCCACTCACATTCCATTGGCCAATACTTGGTCACATGCCCACACCTTGCTGCAAGGGAGGCTGGGAAACGTAGGCTTTATTCTGGGCAGCCAGGTGCCTAGTTGCAAATCCTGTTGCTGTGGAAGATTATGTTAGGGGACACCTCAAGCCTTTGCCGAAGGTGATTTTGATGACTTCAAAATATTACGCGACTTTTTAAGAGTACATATTTAGAAAATGATTGAGCTTCTTAGGGGTTTGAATCTTGGTCTTTCACCTCTAAATCCCCTACTCACTCAGTCCCAGCCCCCAAAACTGTTTTATCTCCTGACAACACATACAGAATCCAGCAAATAAAAGAACAACAATTAACTGACATGCCATAAGGAGTGTTAACCATGTGTCCAGAGAGCTAAGCTATATAATAGAATTCTTGAATACTTTTCCGTAATGCAGTCTCCAACAAAGTATTTCCAGAATTTTGATTCAAAAATGTATGTTTCCTGCACTTGTAAGTTCCTGTTGCTTGGCCCACTTCCAGTGAGCATCTGAGGAAGGGCAGGCTGGTTGACTGATTTCCACTTTTGTCGCAAGTGCCTCAAGCATTCGGGACTGATGCTTTTCATCATTGCTGGTAGCTGTGTCTTTACGTTTCTAGTTTTGCACGTACCTTCATAAAAGAGTCTTGGCGAAAAGCAAAAACAAAGTCATATCTTGTAAGACCACACACATGACCGTGTTTCTGTGACTGACCTTTTGAGTTTCAGGCAGCACCCCTTAGCATGCTGGCTCAGAGCCCCACCTTCCAGGGATGCCCCCTTGGGCTCAGCTGTGTGTTGGGCAGCAGGAAGGTGTTTCTGGGGATGTGAGAAGGGAAGAGCCTCAATTTTTCTGTCCTTCCTGCCCCTTTCTCTTGCAGTCTTCCTAGTGGTCCAAACTGACCCTTTCCTAGCAGCAGCTGGGCTAGGCCAGCTTGGGAGGGGGGAGGACATGTGGGGTGCCAGCACACATGCCATCTGTCTCCCTCTTTGCTGGCATCTCCCTGCGTTTGGCCACCTGCAGAAGTGCCATCTCATGTCTATCATGGGCTATTAAGGCGTTGGGAGCACACAGAATCTGGCTTTCCATTCACGATGTGCTGTGCTGTGCACTAGTTGAAAGAAGGGGCGAGAACTGTCTTTCTGTGCCTCAGTTCCCTGTCGGTAAACTGGGCATCATTCATTCATTCATTCATTCATTCAACAGCTTTTTATTGAGCACCTACCGTGTGGTAGGGATCGTACTAAGTACGGGGATGCAACAATGACCAAGGCAAGAAAAGTCCCTACTGACATGGAGTGGCTGTTCAAGCAGGGCACACCTGCATGTCATGTGGCATTAAGTTCTCTGCAGGAAATGAAGTAAGTTAAGGGTGACAGGATGCTCTGGGGGATTAGGGTGGTGCCTGCTATTTTAGGTTGGTCTTTGGAAAACAGTGTCTTAGGTGACACTTCAGCAGAGACCTGGAGAAAGTATGAGAGAGGCAAGGGGTATCTGGGGGAAAAGCTTTCCAGGTAGAGGAACTGCAAGCGCAAAAGTCCTGAGGTAGGAGTGTGTTTGAAGAAGAGCAAGAAGGTCAGGGTTGCCGGAATGGAGAGCGTAAGAGGAAGAGTGGAAGGAAGGAAGGCTAGATAATGAAGGAGCATTTAGACAATGAGGATCTGAGATTTTTACATAGCTTTTTTTATTGCAGTCTAGCATACATGCCGTGAATATACTCACAGCATGATGAATATTTACATATGTGTACTCCCATGAAACCACCTTAGAGGTAAAGATTTATTTATTTTTAAAATTCTTTATTGTTTAAAGTATTACATGAGTCTCCTTTTCCCCCCATTTGACCTCTCCCTGGCCGCTCCCACCCCCCAGCACATGCCCTCATCCCCCTACTGTCTGGGTCCATTGGTTATGCTCATATGCATGCATATAAGTCCTTTGGTTGATCTCTTACCCTCTCACCCCCCGCCTTCCCTCATAGGTTGGACAGTCTGTTTCATGCTTCTATGACTCTGGTTCTATTTTTGTTCATCAGTTTGTGTTGTTCATTATATTCCACCAATGAGTGAGATCATGTGATATTTCGAGGTAAAGATGTAGAACATTCCCTTCACTGTAGAAGATTCCTCGTGTCCTTCCTCTGCCATGCCCCTCTCTGCATCCAGAGGTAACCACTATCCTGCTTTCTCTCACCAAACGTTCGTCGTGCCTGTTCTGGAATGTTTCACGAATGGCATCATGCAGGATGCTTTTGTGTCTGGCTTCCTTTGCTCAGCATAATGCCTGCGAGATCTGTCCATGTTGGAACGTGTGGCAGTTTAGAATATTCAATTTTAGTCTGAGTGGGACGGGAAGCCTTTGGTGGTGATGAGCAAAGGAATGACTTGAACTGATTTGCATTTTGAAAGGTCTGCCTCCTGGCAGTGTGAGGCTGGAAGCAAAGGGCACAGGGGAACTGGTACAGGTGTCCCGGGCTGCCATTAACAATGACCACAAGCTGGGTGGTTCAAACGACAGAATTTATTCTTTCGCAGACTGGAGGCCGGAGGCTGAGATAAGGTGCTGGCAGGCCTCTGGTCCCTGCGAAGGCCCCAGGGGAGGGGCCTGCCTTTCCTCTGCCAGCTTTCGGGGCCTCAGGGGCTCCTTGGCTTGTGGACACGTAACTCCAGTCTCTACCCCGTCTTCATGCGGCCTTGTTCCCTTGTCCTCTCCTCCTCGTATAAGGACATGGGTCAGATGAGGTAGGGCCCACTCTAATCTAGTGTAACCTCCTCTTAATTTAACTAAGCATATTCATAATGACCCTATTTCAAAATTAGGACACATTCTGAGATTTGGGGTGGTGTGGCATTTTCAGGGACACTATTCACCCCACCACAGGGCTGCTGCAATAGTCCAGGCAGATGATGGTGGCAGGATGGGGCAATGGTGGTGCTGCCAGGGGTGGTTGGAGTCATAGGGAGTTGGAGGGTCCGGCTGACTGATCTGCAGGATGGTTGGTATTGGGGAGTAACTGAATGAGAGGAGTTAAAGATGGCTTCAGGGTTTGGGGCCCAAACTACTGGGAGGATAGAGTTGAAGTTTCCTGAGGTGGTAAAGGCTGGGTTAGGAACAGGTAAGAGAGGAAAATTTAAAAAGGCCATTTTGGAGACATCCAGGTGGGGATCTGGGAAGGGAGGGGCCAGTCTGGAGATATAAATCTGCACGTCGGTAGATAGGATGGTGTTAGGGCGATGGGCCTGGGAGAGGTCAGCCAGGGAGCAAGCATGGGTAGAAAGGAGGACCCAGGACCGCGCAGGGCATGCTGCCATAGGAGGTGCGGAAGCTGAGGAAGTTGATACCACCTGAATCAATTCTGTGAATTAGGAGGGCTTAAAGGGATAATTTTCAAACGTTCTTCCCATAGTGCCTGGAGTGTAATCTTCATAGAATAGTGAATGGTAGCTCTGTGTATGTTTGCTTTTATTCTTAAAAAAGAAAGAAAGGGAATCAAGCGAAACAACAATCTAGGGGGTGTGGGAGAAGCCTAGCTGGTGCTGTGACAGTCCTGTGAAAACTCCTTGATTCTGGACAAAGAGACAGGCCTTTCTTCGGCCAAGCCCTGGGGGCTTCTGGAAAGCCCTTCCCCACCCCCAGGCTCCCCTCTCTCTGCCCAGAGCTGACATCACCAGGGCAGCTTGTGGGCAGTTCTGGCTCTGAGGACAAAGGCCTGAGTGTGAGCAGTGTGGGGCCTGGCATCTCCCAGCTGCCACATCCCTGATCCCCCGTCTGTGCCAGGGTTAGAAGTGGGGGTGGGAGCCGTGCAGCTCCCGCCGCAGTCGGGCCCCGGGGTCCCTGGGATTCTGCTTCTCCGAGGAGGGGGCCTTTAAGATTCCTGAAAGGCAGCAGTCTTGGACCAGTCATTCGGGCTCTCTGTGCCAGTTTCCCCATCTGTGGCTAAGCATGAACGGTCCACACTTATCCTCGGGTCGTGAGGATGAACTTGACCGACGGGCGAAGCAGGAGGCACAGTGCCTCGTGTGTGGTGAGCACATGGGAAAGGTTCTCCAGTCACATTTTCACTTGTCTTGTTGGGAAGTTCCCCCAGTGCTTGGAACAGTGCCCGCACACAGTGAGCACATGATGTGAATTTGCAGAATGAATGAGTGATAGGATGGGACTCCCTTTCCCAAGAGTCCGTTTCGTTGCCAATTTGCTGGCGCGGTGTTGAGGAGGGAGGCTGAGACCCGTTCCCTGCTGCATGTGTGGGCAGTTCGCACGTTCATTGGTTCATCCGTCCATTTATTCATTCATGCATATACTGGGCACATTGTCAGCCCTCACAGCCCAGGACAGTGAGGGGCATGGTGGCGGGACCGCAGACATGAACCTCACGATTCCTGGCAGCCAAAACACGGATGCTCGGGTTGGAGCCCCTTGGCTCCAAGAGGAACCTCTCCAGAGGAAAGGATGATAAATGCCTGTGTGTGGTTTTCAGCCACACGGAACAAACGACCTACTATGCGGGTGCCAGGAGGAAAGAGTCTTGGGAATTCAGAGAAGATGGGGAAGGCTTCCTGGAGGTGGGGTGGGGGCAGGGGGGCTGGGCTGGCCTTGAAGAATGCTGGGCTTTGGGTAAGGGTAGCTGGCATCATGGTTCCAAGCCCAGGCTCTTCTTCAGCCCGCCTGCATGGAGACCCCACCTCTGGCTCACTTTGAGGAGAAACATTTACCCTTCCCAACCCCAGGTGCCTGAGTGGGAAATGGGAATAATAATAGTGGTTAAGCCCTAACCGGTTTAGCTCAGTGGATAGAGCGTCCGTCTGTAGACTCCAGGGTCCCAGGTTCGATTCTGGTCAAGGGCATGTACCTTGGTTGCGGGCACATCCCCACTAGGAGGTGTGCAGCAGGCAGCTGATCGATGTGTCTCTCTCATCGATGTTTCTAACTCTCTATCCCACTCCCTTCCTCTCTGTGAAAAATCAATAAAATATATTAAAAAAAATAATAGTGGTTAGCTCGTAGGGAAGCTGGTGGTCAGGATGAGAGCCGTCAAGGACCTTCTGGCACATCATAAGCTATCCGTCAGTATTGGCGATGGATGATGGTAATAATATGTTTATTATTATTGGGAGGAGTAACGCATGTTACGCAGGGGGACAGAATGAACACAGGAAAGGGGGCTGGCATGAAGGAAGTACTGATGTGGGTGGCTGCAGGTGGCCAGGAGCTGAGGGGTGAGTTGCAGTCTTTACTCTGCAAACCAAAGCGCACGTATTCCTGCGGCAGCACTCAGGTCCCCACCTGCCAGGTAAAGATATGAAACCTTTTCAGTAACAGTTGAAGGTCGCAGGTTCATTTTCCAAATCCCATTGGAACCTTCCCTGCACAGATGTAACTCTTTCTAGGTCTGGGGATATTATTTCTTTCCTGTACATGTCTTTATATGCTACTGCAGACCTGTTCTCTATAAACAATGCCTAGTTTGGGTTTGTGTACCTTTAAAAGTTTTAAATTGGTTCATACCATGCATATTCTTTATTGTGTGTGTGTGTGTGTTTTGCTCAAAAGTATGTTTTTGAGGTTCATCCACACACCTCTGTGTTGCTTTAGTTCCCCCATTGTCACCATGGTGCAGTGAACTACTGCATAAGTGTCCTGCAGACATATTTTTCTATTCTTACTAGGTTGCTTCTCATGTTTTGCTGTTCCAAACAAGGCTGTTTTTTTAAAATATATATATTTTATTGATTTTTTTACAGAGAGGAAGGGAGAGAGATAGAGAGTTAGAAACATCGATGAGAGAGAAACATCGATCAGCTGCCTCCTGCACATCTCCCACCGGGGATGCGCCCGCAACCCAGGTACATGCCCTTGACCAGACCCGAACCTGGGACCCTTCAGTCCGCAGGCTGATGCTCTATCCACTGAGCCAAACCGGTTTCGGCAAAACAAGGCTGTTTTGAAGTCTGTGTTCCTGTCTCCTGGTGTGTAGGTATGAAAGCTTCCTTAGGCCAGGGATTGGCAAACTTGGCTGTGAAAGGCCAGATAGTAAATATTTTAGGTTTTCTGACTCTGTGGTCTCCATTACAACTACTCAGCTCTGCCATGACTGCTTGAAAGCAGCCTTGGACAATATGTAAATAGATGGATGTGTTCCAATAAAACTTTTATTATCAAAATAGGGACTGGGCAGGATTTGGTTCACGTCTGATGGAGGCCTTGTGCTGGGTTATAGAATATGGGGTGTGTGTGTGTGTGTGTGAGAGAGAGAGAGAATGGGGGGTGAGGGTGAGAGGACTATGTGTGTGTGTGTGTGTGTGTGTGTGTGTGTGTGAATGGGGGGTGAGGGTGAGGGGACTAGGTTTACAGTTGTGAGTATGCGAAACACAGTTTATTCTTGTATTATTATTTATTAATTATTATTTTCCACACAAACAACTGTAAGCCTCCTTTTGCACATTTCCATCTCTCCTAGGTGTTGCTACATTGCTTCCAAAGTGTGTAGCTGCGTTTTGAGAGTGCTACCCCATGGCTGTTGGAGGGTGGCCCAATCCTTTTGTTGTCCTTGGCGAGTTTTAATGGCGGTGTCTGTCCCTTTGCAGAGCTGCATGCTTCTGGGCGGCCGGAAGACCACGGACATCCCTCTGGAGGGCTACCTGCTGTCTCCGATTCAGAGGATCTGCAAGTACCCCCTCCTCCTCAAGGTGAGAGCGGCACCCCACTCCTTTCACCATGCTCGATGTGACGGATTGGCTCTGATCGGCTTAATCATAAAATAAAACTTGTTAGTGCAAGTAGCTGAGAAGTCCGGGGCAGGCTGGATCCCACCAGGACCCTGCCTCTTTCTCCCTGTTCATTTCTGCTTTTGACTGTTGAGCTTTCTGTTCAGTGTGGTCGCAGAGGGCTGTGGTTACTCTGGCCTTGCACCCTCTCTTCTAGTAGCTCTGACAGAAGTGCTGAGGGTGATTCAGGCTTTGGCCATCTGTGGCCAGGAGAATGTGATATTCCAAATGATTGGGGCCTGAGTCGCATGCTTTTACTTGAATCAATGACATGAAGCCTTTGCTTGCGCTATTTCTCCTCCACCTATATGCTTGGACTTGGGCTTTACCCTAATTGCTATGAGCTGGGCAGGGTTAGGCATTGATTGGCTAGGACATGGTCCAATGACAGTGAGCAAGACAGTGTGTTCTGATTGGCTGAGATTGGGGTCAGATGCTTCATACCTGAACCAATCACCCTGAGCAAGGGTTCTCTAATTGGCTTAGATTTTTGTCATGCGCTCCAACCTCTCACCAATCACTGTCCCACAGGCTAAAAGCCCAGTGAGGGGGACAGACTGGAGCCTCCTCACCAAAATCTGGGCTATTTGTGGAAGAGGATGGGCAAATACCGTGTGAGGAAACCACAGCATCCACATACTGCTGTTTCCTGTTTCCAGCCACCTTTGACTCAGTCTTGGTCAAGCAGATTTGCTGCTTGTGTGGGGACCCAAGAAGTCTTAATTCTCAGCATTCAAGCCGGCTTCTGGGTTGATCTCCAGCTGGTTGGGTAGCTCTGTCACCATCTGCTGCTCTCAGCCCAGGGTCTTCAGCCCTTGGAAATGGCGGCTGTTGACCCGAGCTTCCCTTGGCACCATCGTCAAGGCCTCGAGTCTGACAGCTGTTCCTGGAGTCTTTGCTGGTGGATTAATTTGGCTGGTGATGCCTCAATCACACGCCCGGGGCCATGTGCATCCTTGCTCCATGAACTGGAAGAGAGAGGGGAGGGGAAAGTACTAGGGAATTCTTGAACCTGACTTTCTGCTGGATAAGGTGGGTGACACTTGAGCCTCTGAGGCTGACCAGACCCTGGGGCCATCATTTCTGCCTGTGAACACAAGCCTGTACTGTGCGCAGCTGTGGGAGGTGGGACACAGCTGTCCCCTCACCTCCTCTGGCCTGCTGCTGTCTGTCCCTTCCAGGGATCTCAAGAGGACTTTCCGCCGTGGTTCTTGTAGCTGCTTGGATTCCCAGGTGGATGTTGGCAACGTCCTATGTAGCTCAGCTCTTCGGCTTGGGCAGGAGAAGCTCCACGTGGGCCTTGTACATTGGTAGCCTGTGGGCTGAATTGGACTTTTTGCCCATGTTGTTTATCTGGTCTGTGTAGTGTGTCTTCCACATGTGTGTTAATTGCCAGCATTTAAAGAGAGTGTTCTGTATTGGCTTAAGGCAGGGGCTAACAAAACTGTGGCTCATGGGTCACATCTAGCCCATGGCCTGTTTGTGTACAACCCATGAACTAAAAGTGGTGTTTGCATTTTTTAAAGGGTTGTAAAAATAAAACAAAACCCTAAAACAAAGAAGACTGTGTGACAGAGGCCGGATGTGGCCAGCAAAGCCTAAAATATTTACTATCTGGACCCTCACAGAAAAAGTTTGCTGACCCCTGGATTAGAGCCACACTTGGCAGCCCCAGGCTGCCTGGGTTTGAACCCCAACTCTGCCTTTTACTAGTTGTGTGATTTCTCCATGCCTCAGTTTCTTATCTGTAACACATAGTTTGTATTAATAGTACTGATAAGGTTGTTATGATGATCAGACCTTTATTATTTCTTAGAGCAACTCGATGAGGTAGCCACTTTGATTAGCCCCATTTTAGAGATGAGGCAGCTGAGGCACAGAGAAAGGAAGGGGCCTGTTCAAGGCCACACGTTGGGTAAGGAAGCAGAACCATGATTTGTGGATTCTAGAATTCCCCTATCAGCTCCACAGCCTGTTGAGAAGCACTTTGAGGTGCTAAGGCTGCCAAAGTGCTGGGTGTTGGGGGTGCTGATCTCAGTTCCCTAAGTGGGGAGTCTGGGAAGGTCAGTGACCTTGTGTGTCATGGTTCAGTGACTGGCCTGCTCCTCCTTTCCTGGTTTTCAAAACCTTAAACATTTGACCCATTAGAAGAACCACCAGCTGAGATTCCCTAGGTGTTAATTAACCCCTTGATTTCTGGATCTTGGGAAAGTCTGGGATCCGAACAGGCACTTGGAATGGCAGTTTCTATAACGTGTTTTCACAGCCAGTGGGGCTGGACCTGTGTGTGTGTGCGTGTGTGTGTACTCCAGCTCTCAATGTGAGGCCCATGCATTTCTGAGGCCTGATCAACCCCAGGGGCCACAGTTTGGTCTGGCAGGATTTCTGGGCTCTGGATTCCCAGAAGAGCAGGGAGGGACAGAGCCGGCCGGCAGCCGATGGAAGAGTAACTGCCCACAGGAAATGGTTGAAGCCGGGCTGTGGGTTTGCTCTCCTGACCAAATGGCTGTTTACAGGCTCAGTTTCCTCTGTCTCCAGCTGTGTTTATCCGAGGCTCAGAGAGCACTGGGGGACCCGCCAGCAGGACCTCAGATTCCTGTGGGCCCATGCCATGCTGCCCGCCCGACCGAATTGCTCAGTGTGTCCGGCCTTTGGCACCCACAGCTGACATGTTTGCATCAGAAAACAGCTGGGACGGAGGGGAATTCTTCATACCCCTCCTGAGTTCCTCCTTCCTGTCACATTTTCCAGTGGGTTTTCAAAGACAATCCCATGAGCTGGGGGACAGTCCTCCCCTCCGGCCCCTCTGGTTCTGACCCCGCGCAGATGTCCCTGTAGCCCTCGGAGCCCCTTGTGTGAGCTGAACTCTGAATTAAGTAGGCGAGCAGGATTGAGGAGCCTGCGTAGGAAGAGGGAAGAGGGAAAAGGCAAGAATGAAAGCCTCTTTGGGAACGGCCCCAAAAAGCTGAACTTGAACATTGCCTAAGAATAGCCGGGACATTCTATTTCAGCCTTCAACCCAGACCCGGCATAGACAGTTGGCATTTTCAGGCTTTGTTGAGTTTTCCATCGACAGTTCCAGGGAAATGATTCAGGTTTGGGGTAATGCCCCTGGTGCTCAAATGGCAGGTGCTGAGGCGAGACAGGCTGTCACCGACCCTTTTAGCTGTTTCCGGGTGATGCACAGAGCTTATTGGGGCACTTACTGTGCACCGGCTGCTGGTGTGGCTCAGGACCCACAGGGCTCGGTCTTGGACTGCCTGCCCCCACCCCCCCCACGGGACCTGCCTGCTGCGTCATGGGAGCAAGCGAGGCTGGCAGGGGGCAACTTGGAGGGCACATCTGTCTAAAGGGGGCAGCTGGCGCTCCAGTCCTTCTGTTCCCCTTTGCCTTCTGCCTCTCTAACCCCTTCAGTCTTCTTTGCTGGATCCTCACCTTCTAGACCTCTGAGCGTAGGTGGGCCCCAGGCCTCAGTCCTTGGCCGTGACTCTATCTAGACTCGCTCCTGGAGGAGGCCTTATTTACTCTGGCTTTTCTCATTTATTAAGGTATATTCAGAAGTTGTGCAACCATCACCGTAATCATTTTAGAAATATTTTTCATCATCCCTCCCAAAAGGAACTCTGGACCCATTAGCAGTAACTTCCCTTTTCCCTCCTCTCCCCCCAGCTTCTGGCAACCACCGACTTCCTGTCTCTACAGATTGCCTGTTCTGCACATTTCACATAAATGGAATCATATTATATCTAACTTTTGTGTCCAATTTCTTTTCCTTAGCACAGTATTTCCAAGGCTCCCCCACGTTGTAGCATGGCTCACAATTTCAGTCCTTTTTATGGCTGAGTAATATTCCGTTGTGTGGACAAACCATGTTTTGTTTATTCATTCCTCTGTTGATGGACATTTGGCGTCACACTTTTTGGCTGTTACGAATGGTGCTATTATGAACATTAACCTACAGATTTTTGTGCAGACATTCCCATGGCTTTAACCTCCATCTCTGTGCCAGTGACTTCCAAGCATGGATCTTTCACTTCACCTCGGGCGGGACTTTTCTTGGGCCCACGCAGCTTCCCTGCTTGGATGTCTAACAGGCACCTCCTACCTAACATGCCGCAAACCAAATGCTTGGCTCTCTCCTTCCTGTAGACCTGTCTACTCTCCCATCCTACTCCCTCATCCCCATCTCTGTAAATGGCTTCTCTTCTTTTTTAAAAAATATGTTTTTATTGATTTTTTTAGAGAGAGAGGAAGGGAGAGGGAGAGAGAGAGATAGAAACATTGATTGGCTGCCTCATGCATATCTCCTACTGGGGATCAAGCCTGCCACATGGACATGTGCCCTGACTGGAGTTGAACCGATAATACATGGGATGATGCTCAATAACTGAGTCACACTGCCCGGGCTGGTCTTTCTTCTTTCCGGTTGCTCAGGCCAAACCTGGGAGTTATTTCTGATCCACCCCATATCTAGTCCATTAGGGAGTCCTGTTGGCTCCACTCCCCACACACATAAAGTTTTCTGGCGTGCCACCTACAATCCTTGGGAGAGCTGTGATTAGCACACATCCCATGCTCTGGGAAACTCTCCCTATCCAGCCATCCTCCTGCACCAAGAATTGAGGCCAATACCTCCTTAGTGATGGACTACATCCATCTCCAGGGGCGCCACACTGCTATGATCAAGGAGACAGAGGTAACTACTGAGCGTGGTGAGAGCTGCATTACCCACAGAAGGGCGTGGAAGATAGAGAAGACACAGGAGACTGTGCAGGGCTCCCTTGCTAGACCCTGAGCAGCCATTCTGCACACAGCACTGCAGCAGCTGTCCCAAACAGACGGGGTGGCCTGTTTGGTCCCCAGATGTTTGACAAGTTTTAAATCAAGTTGGCGTTTGGAAATCAGGAGCTTTCAGATGGAAGTCTTAAGTTCTGGGTTCAGAAACAGTTAGCAACAGTAGGATGACATTTCTGCAGTCATTTAATGAGTACTTAGGAGGCATCTACTGCGTGCTAGGTGCCATTCTGGGCACTGGGGGCGTTACTTAGCAGATCCCTTGTAGTCTTCCTGATTACCTCCAAGAGAGAGCCACAGGGGGTGGTGCAGTGTCCAGGGGTTTTGAAGCTATGTATTCATTCACCAACTCGTTATGGAGCAACTATTATGTGTCAGGCATTGTACTAGGTGCTGGAGATACAAAGTGAAAGAAACTACCCAAACCTCTACCTCTGTGTTCTGATGTTCTGCTGGGGGAAGGCAGACAACAAATGAATAGGTAATGTATATGTTGGTTTAGGTGGAATGGGTGCTATGGAGAGAAATGTATCAAGCTAAGAGTGATGGATTGAGAAGGGACTTTTGAACAAAGACCAGAAAGAGATGAGGAAGGTACCTTGGGAAAGAATCTTCCAGCCAGAGGGAGCAGGCAGTGCAAAGGCCCTGAGGTAGGAATGTGTCTGAGGAGCAGCAAGGAGGCCAGAGATAGGAGGTAGAAAGTGGGGGAGTGAGGTTGGAGAGGTGATGGAGCCAGCATATGCACAGCCTTGTGGGTCACTATAGGGTCTTTTTCTTCTCTGAGTGAGGTGGGTGCCATGGGAAGGTTCTGAGCAGAGGAGGGACAAGATATGACTTAGTTCCCTCTGGCTGTATGTGGAGAATGGACTATGGGTGTTGAGAGTGGAGGTGGGAGACCAGAGGGGAGTCGACCTCAGTGATCCAGGTAGGAGATGGCTGGACTATGTTGGTAGCAGTGGTGGAGGATGCATTTTATGAGAACTGCCTCTTCACATCATTAGTCCATTTTCAATTGGGTAGTTGGTTTCGTATTATTTGCCAAGGTTTTCTATATTATCCTGGATACTTGTGTCATCTCTTTGGAGTCCTTGTTGGACTCTGATGTTATGAAACGAGCCCTCCATCTGCCAGGGATCTGGCCTTTCACCGTCTTGCTGAGAAGGCACAGGAAGGCAGAGGTCTCTGCACTGTGGTCTTCCCTGCCCAAGCTCCCATCCTCCCCCAACCACAACGCCCAGTCTCCATCCTGCCTCTTGGGTTGTGAACCTGACACCTTGTCTAAGGCTGTTCCAGCATCTCAACCTGCATCAGCCGCAATTCAGGTTCTTTCCTGTGTGGTGAGCAACAATAGCTCAAGGAACGGAAGCCTCCTCTTTCAGGGCGAAAGACCTGCTTTCCTCCTTTCAAAGCCAAGCTTGTATATACATCCGATCTTCCAAGTGGCCTTCCCAGATCTCCTTCCCTGACAGTCCTGCCTACATTCTGCTTTCTGCCACGATCTGTGTGGCTCTAGCTCAGCCTCTTAGCTGTGTGACCAAGTACAAGTTGCTTAATCTCTCTGTGCCTCCATTGCATCACCTGCAAAATGTGGATGGTAGTTGCCTCCCGGGCTTACTGCAAAGACAATGCATGAGAAAACTCATGAGAACACTGCATATTACTAGGTAGGTAGTCATGCTTGGTAAATGTTAGCTACTCTAATAGTGTAGTGATTTTTATTTATTTTTTTATTCCAGTTTCTGCACTTATTAGTGTAGCTTCTTTGAGAAGAGACTTAAGTATTCTGTCCCTGAGTTTCCTCTTCTTTCAGATAGAGCCTTGGTCATGGGTTATTGTGAAGATTAAATGAAATAATACCTGTAAAGCGTTTCTAAGTGCTTAGTAAGTATTAGCTATTTTTATTGTCTCAAAGTTCATTTTGTCCAATATTCATAGAACTTTAGTAGTTTTTTAAATTAGTATTTTAATGATATATCTTGTTTTATCCTTTTACTATCAACCATTCTCTATCCTTAAGGTTTAGGTACTTCTTTTGTAAACTACACAAAGTTAGAATTTTAAAATCTTATCTGTCAATCCCTATCTTCTAACTGGAGAGTTTAGCCCGCTTATATTTATTGTATTTATTGATGCATTTGAATTTATTTCTACCATTTTTCTTTTCTATTTTTATTTGGTTTCTTTTCTTCACCCTTTCTTGCTTTATTTTGCATAATTTTAGTGTGTGTGTGTGTGTGTTTTGGGTTTAGTTAACTTTTTTTTTTTAATTCCTTTTTATTTTACTTCTTCTGTATTGGAATTTATAGCTATTGCCACCACCATCATGTACAAGAAGTGAGTAGATTCTATAGAACTCAGTGGGGTGGTAACTGTGGCCAGCTGTAGAGCACTTGTCCCATCTAAGGGGGAAGCTGCCCGTCAGGCCAATTGTTATTGTTAGTGGAAACACAGGCCCAGAGTGGCCAGAGCTTCTGCTCTGCTGAGAGAGGCTGGCAACAGCATTTGGCCTGCAGGGCCTCGTTTATGCCCCGGGCTTTGATCCAGTCCTGCACTGCAGAGCCAGGAGACCTAGGCTCAGAAAGGGGATGACTTACCTAAGGTCACGCATATGTCCTGGTTGCAGCCAGAACAGGGACTCCCAGTCCTGAGCCCTCGCCCACAGTTTCCCTTTCCCTCTCTCAGTGGGAGGATGGAGTTTTTGAGACCCATGTGCATTATTTCTTTTCCTCCAATAATTCTTAATCTGTGGGGTGACAGTTCTCCCAGCCTTGAAACAGGGGCTGAAATTGTTAAATCAGAAATGTATTTGCATGAAATTTCCATAGAGTTTGCAGGCCTGGAGGTTTTCTTTGCTGTGCTGGACAGCTTTTCACTTCTGGGTTTTCTTGGACTTCCAGATGTTTTTTGCTTCTTCTTTTCTTTTTTTCTTTAAGTGGTATTGGGTCTTGTCAGGCCTCTTCCTTTGAGTCCTGCTGTCACCCTAGATATAGCCTGAGGGGACCCCAGAACTGCAAGTGCAGGGAAGAGTTGTGTAGGGGTGACAGTTCCGCCTCCTGGGCTTGGACAGGGCCTGCAGCTGGCTGAAGTGTCTTCAGAAAGTGGGTGTCCTCTGTTGGTCCGGCCCCCGTGCGTGACACCCTCCACGCCCACGGCCACCTTTTTCTCTTTGTGGAGAGGACAGCATGGCTTCCCAACCGCCTTGTCTCCTTCTGGGCCTCCACCACCCCCACCCCAGAGCGAGTGATGGATACTGTCACTTCTTCCAGCGACAGATCCAGCTTTGTTTTTACCCTATGGTTTCATGGATCTGTCTTCTTATGCTGGTCTGGAGTTGGAGGCCTCTGTCCCAGGGCCTCACTGTGGACGGTGCCCACACCTCAGGCCTGACGGGGCTGCCCACAGCCAGTACCAGCGGCTCCCTTTGGTAAAAGCGTGGTTGGAGGGGAGTGAGTGGGCATGAGGGACCTTTCAGAAACACCGGGTTCCTGTACTCTGACATCCTCTTTTCTAGGAAGTGCTCACCTCAGGCCTGCTTGTGAAACCACACGGGCTCACAGGCGGATGTGGGGCAAGGCCGTCAGCCTGGCTCTGGAGGGGCTGGCGCTGTCATTTTGCAGGGTGGCCCAGGGCAAACCCCAAACCCCCTTCCTTCTCTGCCCTCAGTGTATCTAGGTATTCCCCAAGGTCTGCCCCTGCTCAGATGTTTTGTGTTCAAAGAGCCTAGTTTTGGGGAGTGTCGTGTCTAGATCACATGACTAAAGAAACATGTTTGCTGGCATGGTTGGAGGAGTGATTCGCTGGAAAAGTCTTCCCAGATAGCTTCCGGCCTGGCTAGTCCCTTCCCCCTCAGTTCCTCTCTCATCACACCTAGGAGATGGCTGGAGCCCTTGGATAAGGCTGGCCTGACCTTGAGAATGTCCTTGCCTGTGCTTGTGGTGGGGGAAGTTCATGGGCTGAAGGTCTGCTCTGACCAGCCTCTATACACCCCCCGCCATGTCCCTGTGAAGGCAAGGGGTGTTTTACTTTCATTTAGCGTTGACATTTGATGTAATTTTATATTAGTTTCAGGTATACAGGATAGTGGTTAGGCATTTATGTAATTGACGAGGTGATCCCCCTGATAAGTCTACTACCCACCTGACACCGTGCATAGTTATTACAATACTATTGACTGTATTCACTATGAAGCATGTTGCATCCCTGTGACTGTTTTGTAATTACCAGTTTGTACTTCTTAATTCCTTTTCTTCACCCAGCCCCCCGCAAGGCAAGGCATTATCTATACCCATTTGACAGATGAGAAAACAGCTGGGCAAGGGCCATATCAGCGACCACCTTTCTCTCCTGTCCTGTCCTGTTTCTCTCTCTCCTCTCTCTCATTTACTCCACTCCTGCCACACCTCCTCCTCACTCTTACTTGTTACCCACATATGCTCCCACTTCAGACCCCTTGCCTTTGCTGTTCCCTCTGCCAGGCACATTTTCCCCCACAGATTTTTGCAGGACTCCCTCCCTTGCTTCTCCGGTCTCTAGTCACATGTCGCCTCCACACAGGGGTCTTCCTGACCTCCCTATGTGAGAGAACACCTTTTTTCCTACTACTCTCTAGCCCCCTCATTCTGATTTGTCCTCATAGTATTGATCATTGCCTGGCAATGAATTATATGCTTGATTTTTCTTTATTTTATCTGATCTTTTGTATAGAACATAATATCCACTAGGTGAAGAAGTTTTCTCTCGTTTTATTAACAAATGTGTCCCCAGATCTTAGAATACTGCCTGCTATGGAGGAGGTGCTCAAGGGACATTTATTGAATGGATGAATGAATGAATGAATGAATGATGTTTCCCAGCCCCACATATGATCACAAAGTTTTCATAGAGCAGAGCTGGTATTTGGCCGAGGCTGGGCGACCTGGAAGCCAGGATTGATCCCCTCTGGGTTGATGTCTCTTATTCTCGCCCTCACTTCTTCCCTAGGAGCTAGCCAAGAGGACACCCGGGAAGCACCCAGACCACCCTGCGGTCCAGAGCGCCCTGCAGGCCATGAAGACGGTGTGCTCCAACATCAATGAGACCAAGAGGCAGATGGAGAAGCTGGAGGCTCTGGAGCAGCTGCAGTCCCACATCGAAGGCTGGGAGGTGGGCTTGGGGCAGGAGTGGCCCTTCGGGGTGGCGAGGGGCACAGGGAGTGTGCAGCTGCAGGAACAGACTTTGGCCTGGGCACTAAATTCAGCCTATAGTGTATTTTGTTCAGCCTACATGATATTTATAAAGAAATTGTTTAATTATTTTTCAATTAAGCCCACATAAAAATGTATAAAACAAGTTTCCCTTGAAAAATGGTAACACTGGGCCCCCGTTTTCCACAGTAATAGCCACCAGAGCTTCCAGTTTTCCTTAGTCTCCATCCCCTCCTCATTACTCCCCAATCATTCTCTTCACAAGTTGCCTTAACTGCCTGGTGCCCATAGACCTTAGATTTTTTGATACCAAGGTCAGGGGTCTACTCCAGGACAGGATTCTGGCTCTGATACTTCCTTGCTGGGTGACTTTAGGTCAGTGTCTTAACTTCTCTGAACTTCAGTTTCCTCATCGATACCTGGCACATAGTAAGCACTCAATACATGGTAGGTATTGATATTGTTATCATCATCATTATTAGGGGATGGGTTTCTTGAGGTCTTCTGTGTGTAATTTATTTGTTTAAACCTCAACATCTTTCTTAGATTATTAGAGATTTCCTGCAAACCCATAGAAGGAAATGGAAAAATCTGAATAAATAAAAAAAATCAATATCAGAGTAAATACAGCTGGAAGGGGAGATTAAGAGCAAAAGATCAAAGACTCTGTGGACACAGATTATCCTCTGAATCATCTGCCTTTGGGTTTCCTGGCACTTGCTGTGTTTGGGATTTCTACTTCTTTTCCCTGTGTGGCGAAATCTCACATGTGACTCTGTATCGCTAAGGGGCGGAGGGTTTGGCTGCAGAGAGGAGAGGGATCGGTGTTCAGTGAAGATATGAGGATTGTGGGCCCCTCTGTGTGGAGGGATTCCGTTGCCTCAGTTTCCTCATCTGGATTATGCTTGCCATGTCCCCCACCCTCCTTCCCCTCGGCCTTGCTGCCTGGCCGAATCTGGAGAACAAAGAACTCAGACCCCTTGTTGCTCGGGGTTGGGATGTGATTGGTCAAGAGCAGATCCAGCTGCTTGACATGTGGAAGGCAGGAGCCGGATGGAGGCCACCTTGTGCTGTCTTGCAGCAAAGCACAGCCCCGGTCGCGTTTGACTGTCTGTGGTGGCATGCGCAGAGGGCCCGGCTCCAGCTTCCCATGTCGGCAGGCAGGGCAGGGGCCTTTTTGTTGTTGGTGGCAGGACAGGAGGGCTTTGCAGCGGACAGTGGAGGCAGGGGCTGCTGAGGGCCAGCTGTCAGGTTGGCGTTTTCCTGGAGTATCAGCTCAGGCGGTTGCTGTCCTGACTTCCCCTTTTCCCAGGAGGCCAGAGGCCGTGGCCTGTGGAGGGGCCTTGTTCTCGGTTTGCTGGGAGCCCCGGCCTAAATTCCTACCCCTTCTAGGCCCTCATTGATTGGGGAAGCCCCCGTTTCTTTCTGCCTAAAATGCACAGCTTGGTTTCTGTTTCCTACAACTGAAAATCGCCTGATCATCAGTGTGTCGGTCAGGATGTTTCCACAAGGACTCTTGTTTCGGCCTCTTGATGTCAGAGCTCTGATCTGGTCTCTTGTCATCCTGTTGGCTTTCTTCTCATGGTTCCAGGATGGCAGCAGCTTCAGGTAGTGGGAGGGACTCCTCTCTCGGGGAGGAAAACCTTTCCCAGAAGCCCCAGAGGAACTTCCCTCTCATTTTATTGGCCGGAAGCGGGTTACATGGCCACTTTACACACAGGTGCTCACATAGGGAGCAAATATTGTTGACATATTTAAGCGCCTATCTCTTTGGACTTTGAGCTTCCCGGCAGCCAAAGTGAAAAGAACAGGGCATATAAGTTACTGAATATTTATTGTCAAAAAAGGAAGACATAGCGCAGTTCTTTTGGGAGACCGATAATTTCCTGAAAACCAGCTGGAAAAGAAATTTCTCACATGGGCCCCTGTGGAGAGGGTATTGCACAAGCAATTTGGCAGCCAGAGCAGAAGTGATTTCCAGATGCCTTTCTTCTGGTAAGGGCCAGGGAAATAGGAATTAAGGGTTTTGGGGACCCCCTTTGTCCTAGAAAAATTTACAGTTTGAGCATGGCCCTTATTTTGATCACTGCAGTAGGAAATTAAGTGACCCAGAATAAGAATCGCAGGCAATTACTGAGCACCTGTTATATATTTCCAACTTTAGAAGGGAGGTGTTATTATTCCCATTTTACAGATAAGGAAACTGAGACACAGGGACTTGGTTTTGAAGGTCAGCACTATAACCTGCAGAGTTCCTTGCCTCAGGCTAGTTTGTCCTGCTTTCTTGGTCTTACTTCCCCCTACTTGTCTAATTTTAGTAAAATATCCCTGAAGTTATCTTCTGGTGTCATTTTGAGGATAAAGTGAAGTGTGGAATATGAATGTTCTTTGGGAAATGTGAAAGGTTTTCTGTGCAGTAGGATGGTTTTTAAATATAGTTCCATCCTCAAGGTGACTTGTGGAAATAATATGTTTTAGCTAGAAAAAATAATGTTTACCAGCGAGGCTACTTGCCTTGGCTTTATGCCATCAGTAGTTACAATCTCAGGGGACATGACGAGTTAAGGTGTCGTTCACGGTGAATGATAGCGATGGCCAGTCCTTATTTCTGATACTCTTCCTGATCGTTTCTAATCCTTTTGCTTGACCTGTGGCCAATCTGATTAGGTGGTTGTTGCCTCTCTCGGAACATGGCTGACAAGGACTTGCTTTGGGAGGAGGGGAGTCTTTTCCGGGCCACGCTCTTGCTGTGTGCTTGGGCTTGCAGCATTAGTTTGATATCTGATCTGTGGTTTTATGGGGCCTGATCCTTCGTAAGCCACTTGTCCTTTTTAGTTGTGAGGCTGGTTTAGTTCAAACCCGATAAGTTAATCCATAAATCCATTTTGCTGAGCACAAGGAAACAGCAGTGTGTTGCAATACTGTGGAAGTGAGTGGACGAGCCAGCCTCCTCTGTGTGGAGGGATTCCTTTGCCTCAGTGTCCTCTTCTGGAAAGTCTGGATAGTGGAAGTACCCCTTGAGTCACCTGGGGATTAGGGAGTGAGGCATGCAGAGCACTCAGAACAGCGCTTTCTTCCCTGGCTCAGCGCAAATAGGAGGAGCCGTGGCAGCAGAGCAGGATTTCATTCTTAGATGTTTTAGATGAACACGCATCATGCAGCTTGGCTAGAGCTCACACCCAGCGTGGGCTGACCCAGGGGACACTCCAGATGCAAGCCCCACAGACTGTCGTAATAAAAAGAAATGTATCAGAGAGAAACAGGGCACACTCCTCTTGCTGGCTCTGGGAGCCCTGGTTTAAGAGCCCATCGACTGCTCACCCATGAGGGAACAGAGGAAACCATGAATAGAAGTTCTGATGTCTTCTTTCCACCCTGCCTAGGCTGCCTGTGCTCCTGGGAACACGTGGTCTCTTCCTTCCTGAGACCCCTGCTCTTGGCCAGTGATTGCACACAAACACCTTTGAGGTTGCCTTCTAAGAGGCAGCCCAGGATAGCAGAGATAGTGGACAGGGCAGAGGGGCCACCTGCCTGGGTCCAGGTCCCAGCTTGCTCACTCACTAGCTGTATGACCTTGAACAAGTGGCATTCTTGTGGGGGAGATGGAATGACAAGTCAAGACATAAATAAATTAGGAGGAAGGCGTAGGTAATAAGCCCCCCGAAACAAAACAAAACTAGATGCTGAGCAGGGCTGTCTGACTGAGTGAGTCCTTTCATCTCCCTGAGCCCCAAGTCCCACGTCTGTGCATGGTCACCTCCGTATGCCCGCCCCAGCATTGTCCTGGCTCGCTCAGCAGATGGAAGCCATTGGTCACGTTGTATTGGTTTCCTGTCCGCTGACAGATTGTGGTGCATTTAGATTTTGGGGTGAGGGAGGCAGTGGTAGGTTCTGTCTCTGGGAGGGAAGAGGGTATCCCCAAGTGTTCTGGACTTGCCAGCTCATTCACTGTGCCCCTTGTCACTCTCGCAGGGGTCCAACCTCACGGACATCTGCACCCAGCTCCTCCTGCAAGGCACTTTGTTAAAAATCTCCGCAGGCAACATCCAGGAGAGGGCCTTCTTCCTCTTTGACAACCTCCTTGTCTATTGCAAGCGGAAATCCAGGTGAGTTGCTAGGGGCAGGGCTGCCCAGGTGGGCCAGGCGGCTGGGATTGGGTTGAACCCTGACAGTTTCTCATGGTGACAACATCCCTCTCTGCACCTCCTTTTCTCTTCTGAGTTGTGGGGTTTGTTCTAGATCAGCACTGTCCATAGAAATATAATGTTTGAGCCACATAGGTTATTTAAAACTTAATGTGGTTATTTAAAACTAGAGGCCCGGTGCACGAAATTCATGCATGGGGGTGGTGGTGGTCCCCTCAGCCCAGCCTGTACCCTCTCCAATCCAGGGCCCCTCAGGGGATGTCTGACTGCCAGTTTAGGCCCGATCCTGGGGATTGGGCCTAAACTGGCTGTTGGACATCCCTCTCACAATCCTGGACCACTGCCTCCAAATCACTCACCTGCCTGCGAGCCTGATCACCCCTAACTGCCTCTGCCTGTGGGCCTGATTTCCCCCAACTGCTCCCCCGGCCCCGCCGACCTGGTTGCCCCCAACTACCCCTCCCCGCCGCCCCCAAGCCAGCCTGGTTGCCCCACGCAGCCTGCTGCTTGGCCTTTGGTAACCCCTCACTAACACCCCTGCCCGCCTGGTCACCCCACACAGCCTGCTGCTCGGTCATTTGGTTGGCCCTCACTAACCCCCCTGCTGGCCTTGTCACCCCACGCAGCCTGTTCCGTCGTCTGTTCGGTTGCGATAGTTGCTGAAGTTTTTATATAGATAGATAGCCACATTACGTGAAAGGAAACCAGTGAGATGAATTTAAATAAAAATTTTTGTTTATCCCATTATATATCACCAAATAGTATCATTTTAACATAATAAATTAAAAAAAATTATTGTAGAGATGTTTTGTATTCTTTTAAAAATTTTACACTGAATCTTTAAAGTGTGGAATGTACAGGTTGGAGCAAAATTAGATTTACAGTTGTGAGTACATGAAACAGTTTATTCTTGTGTTATTATTTATTAATTATTGTATTATTTTCCATACAAACAACTGTAAACTTACTTTTGCCCCATCCTGTATGCTACACTTATTACACATCTCAATTTGTAGTCAAATTGAAAAAAAATTTTAAAAATATATTTTTTTTGATTTTTAGAGAGAGAGGAAGGGAGAGGGATAAAAATAGAAACATTCATGAGAGAGAAACATGATCAATTGGCTGCCTCCTGCATGCCCTTTACTGGGGATTAGCCCACAACCTGGTCATGTGTCCTGATGGGAATTGAGCTGGTGACCTCTTGGTTCATGGGTCAATGGTCATCCACCACTGAGCGACACCAGCCAGGCTACTAGCCACACTTTAAGTGTTCAGTAGCCACATGAGACTGTGGCTTCCATATTGGACTGTGTAGGTTGAGACAATCAAGGAAGTTGGAAAATGTCTTGTGACACCAGCATCCTGTGGTTCTAAGATCCAAGACAGAGGGTTGGAGGGGAGAGGGCTCTTCTGTTCTTAGGCTTTGCAACGGAAAGGATAGGACCACTGCCATCTTTGTATCTTTCACTGGAACTTCTTGCGCTCTGCAGAGTCTAGGAGTGAGTGCATGGGTGGATGAGTGGTAGATGCAGGTGTGAGTGATGGGATGTATGGGCAAATGAGGAGCCATAGATGGGTAGTTGGAGGTTTGGGAGATGAATGAATGGTGTATAAAGGGAGGCAGGGAGGGAGAGATTGGATGGATGTATGAATTGATTTCTGAATAGATGAGTAAGTAGGTGAAGGAGTGAGTGGTTGAATGGTTGGAGGTGCAGGAGGTGGTGGGATGGAGGGATGGATAGAAGTTGGGGGAATGTATGGATGTTTGGGTAGATGGAGAAATGGATATGAAAACATGATGAGCTGGCAGAGGTATGTTTGAATGAATAATGAATTGGGGCCTTAATATATATTGTTGAGTCAAAAGGCTGATGAATGGATGGGAGGGTGGGTAGGTGATGGAGGTTTGGAGAATAGTGGATAGATGACCAGTTAGAAGTGTTGTTGATGGATGGATGGATGGTAGTTGCTATGGTGGTTGAAGTTTGGTATGGATAATTGGATGACTGAGTGGATAGATGGATGGATGGATGGATGGATGATTGGATGATTGGAAAGGGAAAATTAGACAGATAGGTGGGGGCATGCGTGGATGGGTGGATGCGTGGATAGTGGACTGAGAGATTCCTGCCTTTTAGGTTTTTGCTCAGCAGGTAGAGGACTGTCTCATTGTGACCCTTTTTGAATTGTGCTTCCTGTTACTTTGTCTTGGGTAACTGTCCAGAGGCTTCACTTCTGTAGTGAAGTGCATCCACCCATGCACTTCACCTGGGGCGAAGGCTGAGGGCGGTTCACTCCGGGCCCTGCTGTCAGCATTCCCTCCGGCCCCTTTCTGGTCTGGGCACGTCACTTACGGTCTGAGCCTCATTTTCCCTGTCTGTTTCTGCTGCCACCTGAGGGTGTGGGCAGGAGCCTTTTCATAGGTTGAATAATGGGCGTTCCATGCACATGTGTGGGCTTCTCCTTGTCTTCCTCTTCCAGCCTGACCTCTCTGAGCCTGTTTTCTCTTCTGTAAAATAGGGATGATAAACCTCTTCTTACAGTGGTGCTTGGTTAAGAGCCCAGCTCCTTATAATTGAAACCCTGTCCAGTGATTTCTCTAGATCTGTGACCTTGCCTCAGTTTTCTCATCTGTAAAATAGGGTGAACAGCTACCCCAGAGTCTTTGTGAAGAATGAATGTGTTAAGTATGCCTGGCACATAGAAAGTGTGCAAAATAAGGGGTAGCTGCTCTTACTGCTACTGTTAACGTACCTCTGCACATGTTGAGTTCCTATTCAGTGCCATCCCTTAGCACCTGGTACATAGTAGGTGCTTCACGCACAGGCCCCTTCCCCTCTGCCCTTTCCTCCCTATTCTGGGGCTTGGTCCTTCTCCTTAGAGGTCTTAGTTTCCCTCTTTCACCATCTAGCGGTGGCTGGGTCAGCATGTTTTCTCACTTGATATTTTATGCCTGTCCACTGGGTTAGGTGTATTTGTGTCTGTTTCATGTCCCCCTGTCCCTCCATCCGTGTTCCCATCTCCTTCCTCCTTGCTTCCTGCCTGTTCTCACTGGGGCCATCCAGAGAGCCTTTCTTTGGCAGTGCCAAGGCCATTGCCAGCTTCCACCCCCGCCTTCCCCGCTGCCCGGCCTGGGCTGTCTGTAACAGGAACTTTTTCCAGAAAACACAATGTTTCTTCCGGCCTCTGACCTGTTCCCAGCTTGGGCTGAGTTTGCTGAGTTAGCTTCAGCTACCCCAGTGCGGGCCCATTCTTCATGGTGTGGTCGTACCTGTCCAAGTGAGAGCAGCTGGTCCTGATCTTACTGACTCCCAGTGGGCCTTTGGCCGCCACGAGCTCTTTGAAGGCCATTTCCTTCTCAGTTCTGTGAGTGAGCCTGGCTGGTGGAGGGAGAAGGCACATCTGTCTCCCGAGAGGACCTGGCAGGTGGCCAGGTTCCTGCCTCGGGATCGGGAGCCAGAGGACTGGGCTGTGAGAGGTCCCAGAGGGACTGGGCAGTGGTGGATGGAACAACTGGCCCGACTGTGATGTGGTCACAGGAAATGCCTGACGTCGCTAGGTGTCTGCCGACTGTTTTGTCTTTGCCTGGGTCACGCAGGGCACCGCCCGTCCGGGATGTGGGTCAGGGAAGGTCTCTGACTCAGTGTTTCTGGTCTAATTCAAAAGTGGAAGCTCCTTGGATGTCAGAGTGGAGGGGCATGTTTTAAAGCCTACCTCCCCATTCTTCAGAGGGAAACAGAGTCAGAAGAGCTAAGTCTCATATCTCAACTCTCTGCCTAGCATCTTAGAGAAGGCAGCAGCAGGTAGTGGTTAAGGATCCAGAGGCCTGCCACTTACCCACTGTGACCTTGGGTAAGTTATATCAGCTCTTTGTGCCTCTGTTTTCCTGTCTGTTAAATGGGCATAAAAGTCTCACAGGGTTGTTTTTATTGATTAAGTCAAATAAGACATGTAAAGTGGTTAGAATTAGCTGGGCACATGTCTGTAAAGTAGAAGAAATGTAAATCTTTACCTTCACTTGGTGTCTCCCACACGGCTCACAAATTAAGCCGTGCCTAAAACAAGACACTTTATCTCCATCATAACTCCTGCTCCCTGCCTTTTCCTCCTCTGGTTTCCTCCTTCCCAGTCAGTGGCACCACCACTTACCCAGGAGCTCAGAATCTTAGGTGTCCTTGATTCTGATCAACTTCATCCCCACACCCACTTCATCAGTAAGTCCTTTGCATTCTGGCCAGAACCTCGGTGTAATTACCACAGAAATTCCAGGAGGGAGGTTGTGTGTGTGTGTGTATGTAAACGATTGTAAATTTACATGGAAACACAAAAGCGGACAGTTTTGGAGAAGGACCAAGCTGGAGGACATGTATTACTGACACCAGGCTACTGTAAAGCTGTAGTAATCCAGATGTGGTCTTGGGCCCAGGCTGGGTGGCTCAGTTGGTTGGAGCACTTTGCAAAAGTTAATTGAGCCATATACTACTTTGGGCATTTTTTTTCCTGTATGGATATTACTTTAAGAAAAAGTTTATAAAAATATGTACACACACACACACACAGATATGTGCACACAAATCATCTCCTATCCTGGTTCTTCCTGATTTCCACTGGCCCATCCCTAGTCCTTATCCATAGGCAACCAGAGGGAGTCCTTTAAAACTTAAATAAGATCATGTTACTCTGGTCAGACCCTGCCTGGCTCCCATCTCAGGCCACAGGAGAAGCCCATGTCACCACTGCCCACAGGATCCTGCAGGGTCTGGTCCGTGTGGCCACTCTGACCCCATTCCCCACACTCCCCTCACCCACCCAGCTCTAGCCATATTGGCCTCCTCGCTGGTTCTTGCAACATGGCAGGCCATGGTGCCTGTGCCCTCTGGAATGTGCCTCCCCAGATACCCTCCCAGTTTCCTCCCTCACCTTCCCTAGGCCTTCGGTCCAGCGCCACTTCTTCAGTGAGGCCTTCCCTGGCCCTCTTCCCCGCCCCAGTTAAAATCAAGCCTCACCCTCCCTATCCATCCTTTTGTTTTATTATTATTTTTTACAACCTTTCTTACTTTTAAAACCTTAAGTGTTTTATTTTAATTAAAAACACAAACATCACATTTGTTAAACATTCTTTTCATGTAGTGCCAAGGCCTCTTCTTGGGGGTTAAGGATCCTCTTCACACAAAAGCAACTCACCTTTATCCCGTCTTTCTGAAACATTCAACTTAATTTTCAGAGAGAGAATTCTCTCTCTACAGGCCCGTGTCCTCAGCTTATGTAATATGTAGTTTACCCACTTACAGTGGCAGGTGCACATCAGGCAAATTGGCTTGGGAACAAACAGCTGACTCTCGGTGAGCATCGCCCACCTGGTGGAGACCACAAAGTGGCCTTCGAGCTCCGAGGGCTCGGTCTCTGCTTTATTTTAACCTCAACGTTGAGCACTTCTGACACAATGGGAGTGTGACTTCTTAGCCTCTGTCTGTGCCCCTCCTGGCATTGGAAGATTGAGTTCCCAGAGACATTGCTTTGTTCACTCCTGCAGCCCCAACCCCTAGAAGATTGTGCCTGGCACCCAGGAGGTGTTCTCTTAGTGCTTGTTGAATGTGTGGGTGCATGACTGCCCTAGGTTGGTATTCTCCCACAGGAAGTGCTGGTCAGATGTTTTTTGAGTGACTAGATGCGCAAGCGGTAGAATTCACCTGAGTGAATGAATGAATGGTGGGTAGGTGGATGCAGATGATGGATGGATGGATGGACTGCCTACTCTCTTCCACTCTGGTCTTATTTCAGGAAGTTCCTGTTTGTTAGACACTTTGAGAGCCTTGACCCATTTTCTAGCCAAGAAGAATGGGTTTCGATTGCTGCTTGTTAGTTTCTCGTCGAAGTCCACTTTTAGCTGAAAAGTAGCTCTGTGAGGTCAGGAAGGCTAGCAGCCCATTTCCCAGATGAGGAAACTGTGGGTAGGAGTGGGGAGGTCACACAACCACCAGCCGAAAGCCCATGCTCCTGGTGGGGGCAGCACTCCTCCCGTTCCCGTGCTCTCCCTGTGCCTGCTCCTCCCTCCGCTCTGTTGAAGACACTGGCGCTGCCCTGAGGTGGGGCATGGGGGATGCTGACTTCCCACTGTCTTTCAGGGTCACCGGGAGCAAGAAATCCACCAAGAGGACCAAATCCATCAACGGCTCCCTCTACATCTTCAGGGGCCGAATCAACACTGAAGTCATGGAGGTGGAGAACGTGGAAGACGGGACAGGTAGGCCCCAACCCCAAGCCCTGCCTGAGCCCAGTCCCTCCTGCTCCATGACCCACTGTCTGTCTCAGTTTTTAAACATTTATTTGAACCGGAACCTACTTACACAAAATGCCTAAAACTCGTGCACATGAAATGAATACCTGGGTAGTCACCATTCAAGTTAACAAGTAAACACTGCCTGCCCCCTCGAAGTCCCCTCCTCCTCACAGCACCTCCTTTCCCTCAGAAGTAACCACTTCTAAATTCTGTGATGGTCATTTTCTTGCTTTTTAAAAATATTTTTACCTCCTAAGTATTACTAAATATTTTAATCACAATTTCTCTGTTTAAAATCTTACTTAAATGGTTATATTATAGCCCAGGCTGGTGTGTACAGTGGTTAGAGCACCAGCCCACATACCTAAGGGTTTTGGGCTCCATTCCTGGTCAAGGACATGTACCTGGGTTGTGGTTTAATCCCCGGCCCTGGTCAGGGCACCTGTAGGAGGCAACCAATCGATGTGTCTCTTTCACATCCATGTTTCTCTTTCTCTTTCTCTCTCTCCTTCTCCCTCCCCTCTAATCGTTCCCTTCCTTCCACTCTCTCTAAAAATCAATGGAAAAAATAACCTTGGGTGAGGATTAACAACAAAATAGTATATTATATATATATATATAATGATGTTATATATTTCTGTATATATATACTTATATTTAATTTTTAATTTAAGTTTTGATCCATTGGATTTTTAAAATTGAATTTATTGGCGTAATACTGGTTAACAAAATTGTACATGTTTCAGGTGCACAATTCCACAGCACATCACGTGTACACTGTGTTGTCATGAACACCATACAATCTTTTGCATCTTGCTTTTTTCTCTCAACCCCATGTTGGTGAGATCCATCCATGTTTCTGCATGTAGCTCTCTCTAGCTTGTTGGTTTCCATCGCTGTGTAATATTCCATTGTGTGAATAGTCCAGTTTATCCATCCCTTTGATGATGGACATGTAGGTTGTTTCCGCTGTTGACTATTATGAACGGTGATGCTGTGAGCGTTCTCGTGTAAATCTCTTGGTGTATGTGCCCTTAAGCTTGTCTAGGGCAGGGGTTCCTAACTGGCTTTGAGCCACAGACCCCTTTGGCAGTCTCCTGAACCCTGTGGCCCCCTCCGCTGATTCAGGGTACAGGCAATCCCTGAAGCAACTTCCCTGGATAACACCAGCCTGTTTTCACAGGGGCTTGCCAATCCCCACCCAGCAAGCAGCACGTGAGGGCCTACGATTCGGTGTTATCTGGCTTGTACCAGGGATCTGAGTAGCCCAAGGCCAGAATGAAATGGGCAGGGAGGCAGGGATGCATTCCTGGGCTTTGGGTTGGCATCTCCCTTTGAGTCACCTGCATTTGTGCCTGGATGGCAAGATCTTGAAGCCCCTGTCATTGAGGGTCTGCAGATCTTCCCTGCCTGCCAGAGAATAGCCAGGAGAAGGAGTGAGAATTAGAAGGCTGGAAAGTTCAGTTCTCAAATCCTGATCCTGCCCGTGCCCCTGGAGCCGCAGGGCTTGTCCTGTCAGCTCACTCACAAGCGTGTGGTCAGGAATGTTCAGAGTTGTGTGGCCGAGTCTGCTCACCCACCTTTTCCTCCTGCCTTTGCCAGCGGATTATCACAGCCATGGCTACACTGTCACCAACGGCTGGAAGATCCACAACACGGCCAAGAACAAGTGGTTTGTCTGCATGGCCAAGACGGCGGAGGAGAAGCAGAAGTGGCTGGATGCCATCATCCGAGAGCGGGAGCAACGCGAGAGTGAGTTCTCTGGAGAATGGTGGCTCTGGGGGGCTTCCCCGAGGCTTGTCACTTCTGCAGAGTGAGGGCTGTGCCTAGGGAAGGGGCAGGGAGGTCAGAGCTACTAGAAGCAGGACTCGGAAGGGGTAGCGAGCTCGGGGACTGTGTTGCACCTTGGTGGTATTTCAGATCAGCAGAGGTCATCTGAGTGAGCCCACTAGGTAGATGGTGAAACTGAGGCCCAATGGAAGGGACTTGCCCAAGGTCATGTCGATACGGTTGGTCATCCTTGGATTTGTGACATCTTTCACCCTTGGGGTTTGGCGGCAAAGATGCTGTCGGCATGCCTTTCCTCCTCCACGATCTCTAACCTCCTCCTGGGGTTGTGTTAGAGAGTCACCGAGTCTGCGTTGGGGAAGCGGGTCCTTGAGAGTTGCCTATTGCTGTGGTCATGTATCTCTGGGCTCAGGCACCTCTGAGGCAGCTCCCACGGGAAGTGCGGGGCTGGGTGTGGTAGTTGGGTGAGGTTGGGGTGGGCAGTGGACTGTTGTGTAGTCACTACCAGCCTTGGAAAAGTGAGACTTGGTGTGTTTGGGGCAAGTTACTTCAGCTGCTGGACCTCAGTGATGTCGCCTGAGATGTGGGGATAACAGTTCCTGCTTGGCAGTTTGACATGTGATCCTAAAATCTATCCTGACCCCCCACATGTGCTATAGACATCTCACACGCACCATGTGTAATCAGAGCCCTTCATCTCCATCAGATCTTCTGCCCAAACCTGCTCACCCCATCAACTTCCCTATCTCAGTAAGTGGCCCCTCCATTCTCTCACAAGCTCAGATTCAACTCTTGGTGTCATCTTTGATATCATCCTGTTCCCCAAATTCAGTAGATCAGATCCTTTTAATTCTGCCTTTTCACATATATGCCAGCTCCATCCATGTCTCTCCTGTCCCTACAAAGCACAAGTCACTGTCACCTCTCAAGAATATAGGCCCAACATGACTAGATCCATTGATTTTATTTTTTTCCTAAAGAAGCTAGACATCTGAATTTTAAGGTGGCATTTCTTTATTTTAAATATTGCACCAAAATTTATTAAAATGGCATTAGGCTAAATAAGCTACTGAAGTTGGCCCCCAGTTGTGACACCTGAAACTGATCAGGGCTGGATGTGTGGTCAGGACTGGGACAGAGTTCAGGGGTGTGGCCTGGCCTGGGTGTGGCAAATCAGGATCTTTGTGGTCAGAATCGAAGGTTGTGGTCAGTGCAGAGCATATGTGATCACGAGTGGGGTGTGGCTTGAGAGCGCCTTGGTTGTTAGAAACGAGGTATTGTCAAAACCCTGACCTTTCAAGGGTGGGGTTCATAGCTGTGGTCAGCAGTATGGATCTGGAGCAAAACTTTCTGGCTCTGAATTCTGCTTCTACCACTTCCAGTTGGGAAATCTCGTACAGAGAACTTAATTTTGCTGGGCCTCAGTTTCTTCATCTGTGAAATAGGGATAATGGTACTTGCTTGTAGGTTTCCTGAGGACCAAGTGGCATATAGTAGATGCTTATAGTGTTTCCTGTGATTGTTTGTCATTCCTATCATTGTCAGGAGCAGACAGGGTCCAAGTGGAAAATGTGGGTGGTGGTGGTAGTGGGGGGGAAGCAGTGATCTGGGTCAGGGTCCTGTGTGTGTTGTATTTTCTAGAGAAATGGCCAAATAGCCATACCTGGCTGGAAGGAAGATCTCAGTAGGCTTTCCAATAACCTCTAAATTTGAAAACCTATCCTCAGGTCGAAGGCTTGCATAAGCTTAAAAATGCTACTTGCTCTGGGATTTTTTTTATCTGGGCCTCAGTTTGGCCATCAGCAAAATGGGTTCTTTTAGCCTACCGAGTTCTTTAGAGGAGCCGAGGACAGAGACCACAATGCAGTGAGTGCTCTATGGATGGCCACTGGCTGTGGCAGTAGTGGGGGCAGCTGGGGATAGCTTTCAGGAGCAGCAGGCCAGCCCCTCCACTCCTCAGTGCTGGTGCTGTCCCTGGTGCTGACCTTGCCTCCTCTGCAGGCCTGAAGCTGGGCATGGAGCGGGACGCCTATGTCATGATTGCGGAGAAGGGGGAGAAGCTTTACCACATGATGATGAACAAGAAGGTGAACCTGATCAAGGACCGCCGGAGAAAGCTGAGCACCGTCCCCAAGTGCTTCCTCGGCAAGTGAGTGGCCTGACCTTGGCCTCTGCTGGGTCCCTGGGTCTCAGCTGGAGGCTGGAGATGGGCAGACCACTGTACCCACCTGGTTTTCCCCAGTCCTGCCCCTCCCCACAGGAGCCCTCCTGGGCAGAGCTACCAAAGCACCCTGAATCCTTGTGCTTTGGAGGTCAAGAAGGATAGTGGGCCCCCATATCAGGTCTTTCAAGTATTTTTAACCATAACTCACTGCAAAACAAGTTTCCTGTTATGACCTGGTACACACATCCATGTAATATATGAATGAAGAGTCACAAAACTTACTGTGTTCGATGTACTCTGAGAATATCTGCTCTGTATTTCTGTTCTATTTCTTTCTATCCTGTGTTGTCCTGATCCTATCCTACCCTTTCTGTTCTATTGAAGTCATTTCAAAAATAATCCTGAGCGAGACCTATGAAATTGGTTTCACAAACGACTTAGTGGGTTGCCCATCATGGGTTGAAAAGTGCTGTTGTAGCATCAGGAAAGAGAAGCCACAATAGTTGTTTCAAGCACAGAGGTATTTGACACAGGGAATTGATGACGAAGGTGATGGGAGGTCTGGGAGAGCAAATGTAGGCTCTGTATCAGTCTGCTGGGGCTGCCGTGACACAATGCCACAGACCGGGCAGCTTAAACAACAAATTTATTTTCTCACAGTGCTGGAGGCCGGAAGCCCGAGAACAAGGTGTCCGCAGGGTTGGTGTCTGGGGAGGCCTCCCTTCCTGAGTTACATCTGAGAGAGGAGGAGGGGGAGGGTGCTGTAAGCTTTTCAGTACTTAGGGCCTCTCATTTCTCTGTTTGGGAAATACATTATTTACTACTAATAAAACATTTCCCCCCGGCCCACATTTTATAACCAAGCAGCAAAGGGGTCAGAGCACAGGTGTGACCAGATTGGATCTTTTATTTGTATTTTTATTACTTTTTTATTGTTGGCACTATTACAGATGTCCTCATTTTCCCCCACCTTTGCCCACCTCCATCCAGGCCCCCCTCCCCTGCCCCCGGCCTTCACCACACTCTTGTCTGTGTCTGTGAGTTACGCAATATGTTCTTTGGCTAATCTCTTCTTCTTTCATCCAGTCTCCCCTGCCTCCGTCCCCTTTGACCTCTGTCAGACTGCCCCATGTATCCCTGCATCTTGTCCTATTTTGTCATTTTATTTTGTTCATAAGTGATATTTTATGGTACTTGTCTTTCTCCGATTGGATTATTTCCTAATTGGATTATTTAATAATCTCCAGGTCCATCCATGCTGTCACAAAGGAGGAGAGTTCCTTCTTTTTTCACAGCCAAATAGTATTCCATTGTGTAAATGAGGGGTGGGGAACCTTTTTTCTGTCAAGGGCCATTTCGATATTTAGAACATCATCTGCAGGCCATACAAAATTATCAACTTAAAAATTAGCCTGCGATGTGTGGTCAAACATTGATTGAACTCACCCCTAATGCCTTGGCAGGGTCAGACCAAATAATTTCTCAGGCCTTATATGGCCTGCAGGCTGGACGTCCCCTACCCCTGGTGTAAATGCACCACAGCTTTTTTATCCACTCATCTGCTGGTGGGCACTTGGGCTATTTCCAGATCTTGGCTCTTGTGAATAACGCTGCTTTGAACATAGGGGTGCAGATAGTCTTTCTGATTGGTGCTTTGCGATTCTTAGGATATATTTTGAGACGTCTGACTTTGGATTGGATCTTAAACCCAGGTTTCATTCACCTGGGGTGGGGGCATTCACCTGGGATTGGGAGAGGCAGAAGAAATGGTCAGGCTCTTTTCAGACCTACTGTGTGCGAAATACAGTGGTCAACACTCTGGAGAGGGCAGAAGAATGACGAGGGCAATCTCATGAACCTGTGGCCCAAATGGGGGGAGAAGTTTGCTTGTGAGCAGGGACTTGACTTAGAATTTATTCACTTATATCTCACCTGCTTCCCCAAAGCTTTTGAAGAGTAAAAGCCACTGTGTTATTATGTTAATGCCACAGACCAGGAGAGAGGTGACTTGGATGAGGGCAGTCACAGCAGAGAGGGGGGAAAATGGTTGCATTCTGGTCATGTTGAAGGTGACCACATTTGCTGATGGGGTGAGAGCAAAGATAGTTAAGGACTGACAGGAAAGATGGAGTTGCTGCTTGCTGAGAGGGGAAGGAGATGGAGGGAGGCGCAGGTTTCAGGGGGTAGGAGTAGAGCTCAGAGGCTGTTTGGATGGTTGCACTGAGACTAGTAGACACCTGGATGGAGATGTGACTTGTTAGTTGGATATGGAATCTTGACTTGGGAAGAAAAGTCTGGGTTGGAGACCTGTGTGCAGGAGATGTGGGCATTTAGATGGCCTTTGGAGCCATAGAGACGGAATGAGATCTGAAGAGGAGGTGGAGAGGCAGGGACTGGGTTTGGGGGGCTGATGGCCTTTGGGGGAAGGACCAGCAGAGGAGTCAGGGAGGGGCAGGGAGGGAAGAGGGAGGCACTCAGGGCAAGTGTGGTGCTCGGAAGCCAGGTGAATAAAGACGCAGCAACAGTGGGAGACAGAAGCTTAGGTTTGGACGTGGTAGGTTGAAATGCCTGGTACACATTCAGTATTGATGTTGGATGGGCTGTCAGAGACCAAGTGTGGAGCTGGGTATGGTCATGGGCCAAAGCTTGTCGTTGGCAGGGCAGCAGGGAGGAGATTTGGGGGGTGGCTGGGCCCCTGAGGGGTGACCAGGATGCCCTAGATTTGGGCCGCCCTTTTGCCCTCAAGGGTCAGCCACCCCAGCTAAGCTCCCTGGGTGGAGAGGAGATGGGGTGCCAGACCTGCAGGCTGTGGGAAGTGGGGAAGGGACAGCCTGGCTGGTCTCCATCAGCTAATCCCTAATCCCTGGGCAGAAAGGATGTTTTTCTCTGCGGAGGGGCCTTCCTCCTCCCTCGTCCCCCGGGTCAGAGGACTCCCCACCTCCTGCCAGACCCCTCCGAGAGCATAGTCCACCGGATGGGATAACCTGTCTGTGATTAGAGCTTCAGAGGAGTGTTCTGTCTCCTCAGGAAGGATTAAGGAGATTTCTTTTACTGCCCATTGGAAACGGGGCCAGAATTGAAGCTTGTTGTGTAACCACTGGGTCCTAAAGACCTGTTGTCCTGCAGGAGACTGCTCTGTCAAACTCCTCTCCCCAATGGCTTTGCTCTGCGCCCAGCCCGGAGCTGTGATCTCCTTCTTCCCTGCTGGGGCTCAGCTCCCCAGCCTTCTCCCCCAGGAGTACCCTGGCCCCTCGGGTGGAAGGAACCAGCAGCCACAGGGGCATCGTAATTGAGCCTTTCTCTGCTCCAGGAGCTGGGATGTGGCCATGCCTTTAACCCTCACACAACACGGTGAGGCAGGTTACTGCCATTATCCCCATTTTAAGGGTGAGGAAACTGAGGCACAGAGAGGGAAAAGGTCCTGCCCAAGATCACAGGTGGGGAGCTGGGATGTGAATCCAGGACTTTCTCCCATAACATTCTGCTGCATTGATCCATTTTTATCTCTATTCAGCACATTTCATTTTTACTTGATAGTTACTTTCTCTCCATTTGTCTCTACCACTAGACAGGGAACTCCATGAATACAGAAAGTGTCTGATTTATCTTTATAACCTTCAAGGGTTGGGCTTTGAGTCAGACTTGGACTCAAGTCCTGGAGCTCCCACTCCAGGACTTTGGGCAAGTTTCTTACCTTCTCTGAGTCCAGTAAATGATTGATTAATGAGCGAGAATAAAATATGCCTGATAAGATTGTTGGAGAATACAGTGAGAAGATGTGAGTGACATGCTGAGCACAGTGTTGGCAAGAGTGATAGAAGTGTGTATTGGGCTTAAGGAGTGGTCTGTTTTTCATTTTATTTTTTTCTTTATTGATTAAGGTATTACATATGTGTCCTTACCCCCCCCTCCCCCCAAGCCTTCATCCCCCTGGTGTCTGTGTCCATTGGTCAGGCTTATATGCATGCATACAAGTCCTTTGGCTTATCTCTCCCCCTTCCCCCCGCCCTCCCCTACCTTCCCTCAGGTTTGATGGTCTGATCGATGCAGGAATGGCCTGTGTTTGCCAAACTCAGAGACAAAACTCACAGATAGCACATGACAAAAACCAAGGAATAAAATCTGTATGTTACTCTGGAAGCGTCATGGGAGGATCATGGCATTTGTCCTCTGGGGTCCCCAGATTAGTTGGGGAGACAGAATCTATTATTCATTCATTCATGCGATTCATTCAGTGTTTACTATGTGCCAGCTGTGGACAGGACAGATGAGATCTCTGACCTCATGGCGATAACCAGCCAATCGGGGAATCAGCAAGTAGACAATAGACAAATACAAATAAAAACAAAGAAGGGAATTTCAGAGTTGAAGATGCTGTAAGGAGGTGAGTAGGTTGGTATAAGGAGGCAAGGGTATGGGGTGCTATTTCAACAGGTTGGTCAGGGAAAGCCTCTCTGAGAGGGGACCTTTTAACCAACGTCTGCAGAACAAGCAAGAGCCAGCTGTGAAAATATCGGGGCGGGAACAGCAGGCACAGAAGCTCCGAGGTGGAATGAGCCTCAGGTAAGCAATTGAGGAACAGCAAGGTGGTCAGTGTGGCTGAAGGGAGTGAGTGGGAGACGTGGGGAGACAATGGCCCCGGGGTTGACGGGCCAGATCAGGCAGGTAAGGGGTAAGAGGCTCAGCCTTTATTCTCAGTGCTCTGAAAAGCCATGGAAAGAGTCTAAGTCAGGGGTGGGCAAACTTTTTGACTCGAGGGCCACAATGGGTTCTTAAACTGGACCGGAGGGCCGGAACAAAAGCATGGATGGAGTGTTTGTGTGAACTAATATAACTTCAAAGTAAACATCATTACATAAAAGGGTACAGCCTTTTTTATTTTTTATTTTTATTCATTTCAAACGGGCCGGATCCGGCCCGCGGGCCGTAGTTTGCCCACAGCTGGTCTAAGTGGAAGAGGAAGATGAGGGCGAACCTTCATGCAGGCCCTGAATGAGGACACTTGACGAGCTGTGTGAGCCCAGGGAACAAGGTGTGATGTTCTGTCTGTCAGGGGCAGTGAGGGAAGGCTTCCTGGAAGGAGAAGGCCTTTGGTTTTACCCTTGACAGAGGTCAGATGTCATTCGGTTATTCATGTCTGCCGGAAGGGACACTCTCAGGTGGAAGAGGCCTTGCTGTCTCATCTACCTGTGTGCGCAGGTGCGGGGTATGAGCATGTAGTAGCTGGTCAATAATGATTTGTCGAGCGTTGCTGCAGGCATCTTCAGGAAGCATCTTAGGCAGTGAGGTTTACTAAAATCCCTCAGTTCCTACCCTCATGGAGCTCCAGGCCATGGAAGAGATAGGCAAGAGATTGTTGAATAGGTGGTGAGTGGTACATTGGACCTCAGCGAAGGCACTTTCCTAGAAGAGATATATCTGTGCATCCCCTGCGGCCAGCACTGGGCTTGGCTCCTAGTAGGCAGAATACATGTTCACTGGGTGAATGATTCTGGGGACCAGGAAGGAAGGAGGGATGAAAGCTGGACACGTATTAACTTTCAGGCAGCCCCCCATTCCCTGAATTTCAAACTTGCCACCAACTAGCCCAGGGGTGGGCAAACTTTTTGACTCAAGGACCACAATGGGTTCTTAAACTGGACCGGAGGGCCGGAACAAAAGCATGGATGGAGTGTTTGTGTGAACTAATATAAATTCAAAGTAAACATCATTACATAAAAGGGTATGGTCTTTTTTTTTCAATAGTTTTATTCATTTCAAATGGGCCGGACCCAGCCCGCGGGCCATAGTTTGCCCACGGCTGAACTAGACCAACCTTCTCTCCGTGTCCCCAGATCACTGCACTGAGTTATGTCCTCCTGGAAGACTGGATCTTGCTGCTCTTTGCAGCTCCCAGCAGCCGGCATATTGCTGTTTTCCTAACCTGAACTCGCTCAGGCCTTTGTGTATGCTGATCCCTCATCCTAGAACACCCTTTCCTGTACCCAGTGGTGGTAAATCGTGCCCTACTGACCCAGCACAGTTCGCAGCTGTGTTTTCTGTAGGCCACATGGTGCTTTCAGGAAAACTTGGACTTGATATCTACATTTACCAGTTGGGAGAATTCACAGGAAATGCAGGATTTCCGGCTTTTCTTGAAAAGCCATAGGATGTCTTAGTCTTCCCAGGCAGCCATAGTCAGCCACTCTGAGGAGTGGCTCCCGTCTTCAGCAGTGAATTTTATCTGGTTTTGCACACTGGATCCCAGCTTAAGGTTTTGTATGATTAGAAAGTTTACCTGTTAAATCCAGAAAGCCCCTGAGTGAACCACTTGCCAGATGGACCCTGTTAAAGCCCAGAGAGAGACAGTGGCTTGCTCAAATTTGCCCAGTTGTCCTCTAAAACGGAGCAAGACTCGGCTTAGAGCAGAAACATGGTCACAGTTGCTGTCCTCTGGTGTGTCCTCTCCTGTCCTAGCATCTGCTGTGGGGTACTTCCTGTCCCACCCCCAATCCTGGCCACAGGGCTGGGGTCAGTGCCAGAGGCGGCCTCCAATGGGACAGCGAGTGGGCAGCCGGACGCTGAGCCCCCAGCTTCCGAGAGTGGGCACGCCACATCTGTTCACTTCTCTTAGCTGTGGGCAACTTTCTCCCTGTCTCTGAGTTTTGGGACTTAGAGAATGGAACTGGGGATGGGCAGGACCCTGAGCAGTCTCTTTCCCACCTAGGGACCTGTTCTACCAGATAGATCCTTTTCTTCTGTGCTCCCCCACCCTGGGCCTGCACCCGGGGCTCTCTGAATGCCTCAGCACACACCACTACCTACACACAACGCAGGTCTTTGCTCAGCAAACCCTAGAAAGCTAAAAATAGCCCTGCCCCCCTCTGGCCCTGTAATTGGAGGCGGGACAGCTGGTTTCGATAAGCAGGAGAGCTCTGTGCTCTGGCCAGCTGCCACCTGCTTTCATTGAACACAGATTGCGAGGCGGAAACAGCTAGTTCCCGGCTCTACCCTTTCTTGCTGACTTCAGGGGGGGTTGAGCTCTCAGTGCACTGCCAAGAGCCCGGAGCTGGGGTCTGACTGAGCCTCTGCTGCACGGGGTAGTCACGTTGGATTTGCCTGTTTTCTTGTGGCTGATGAGCACTGCTTTCTCCCTGAGTCCTCCTCCTGCTCCCAGAACACTCCTCCTTGCTCAGTGGTTCATTCGATGGTCAATAAATGATTATTGAGCCCTCATGTGCTTTTTTGACCCTCTTCTGGGTTCAGGGGGTGGAGCCATGCATAAGAGGGCATGGAGATTACATTCTGGTTGGGGGAGATGGCTGATAAACACATACATAAATCTGCAAATAGTGCAACTTCAGACAGTTACAACTATTAAAAAGGAAGCAAAACCTAGAGATGGGATGGACTGTGTGGGGTGAAGGGACTGCTCTTGGTGAGGTGGTCAGGGAAGGCTTCTCCGAGGAGCTGATAGTTGAGCTGAGAACTGAATGATGAAAAGGAGGGGCTACCTGACGAGCTGGGAAAAGTGTTTCCCGGAAGAGGGAACAGCAAATGCAAAGTCCCTGAGGCAGGCGGGAATCTGACATTTTTTAAAGAAGGTGGCCATGGCTAGAGCATAGTAAGTGAAAGACGGAGGGATGGGCCCGTGAGGATGGGGCATTTCTGCACGGCCTGGATTTCACGTGGGCAGACTTTTCTTTCTTCTGAGAGGAATGGGGAAGCCCGTTGGAGGATTTTAAGTAGGAGGCTGACATGATTTCATCACTATTAACTCTCCTGACTCTCCAGTTACCTTTCTGGACCCGTATTTCTTCCTGCTTGTTTGGTTTTTCATTCCTCCTGTTCATCCACCCATCCGTCTAGCCATCTATCATCCATTCCCCACCCATCTACCCAATTGTCTCTCTACTCATCACCTACCCATCTACTCATGTTCCCCTCCACCCACCTGCTCACCAGGCTTTTCAGCCGTCTGTTACTCATTTGTCTGTGAAGTCATCCATTTATCCATTCACTTCCCCTTCATTTACCTATCCACTCATGTGTCCATCTATCCATCCTCCCATCCTTCCACACTCCCATTTATCCATCCACTCAGCCAGCCAGCCAGCCAGCCTGAGGCAGGGCCCGGGGTCTGCTATGCCCACCTCTCTGCCATTGGTCATGGGGAGAATCACCAGGCCTCAGCACAATCCCCAGGGCTGTGGCCCCCTAAGCTTTGCTTCCCTGAGGGAAGTTTAGCTCTCCTTCCCAAGAGTGGGTGAGGCCAAGCCTGCTTAGTGCTGGTCCCCGAGGGCCAGGACTGGGGACGTCCTCTCAACCACATCTTATGTTCCTGGCAGTGAGTTTGTTGCCTGGCTCCTGGAAATTGGTGAAATCAGCAAAACGGAAGAAGGAGTCAACTTGGGCCAAGCCTTGTTGGAGAATGGCATTATCCACCATGGTGAGTGGGGGCCGGGCCTGGTGGGCCAAGGGGTCGGAACAGGTCAGACCCCTACAGTGCTGTTTCCACGGACTCAGAGGCCATTGCTATACGTCTCTGCAGCCACTCTGTTCCCTGGCACCGTGGGGTCCCAGGAATGTGGATGCCCTTATAAGACTGCTAGCTCCCCTAGGGTAGCAGCAGTGTGGGGACACCTCGAAAAGATGGGGGCAGAGGATGTTCTGTCCGCTTAAGTTTATTGAGAGCCTGTTTGGGACCAGGCACTGTCCACATAGCGGTGAACGGGACAGATGAAAACTCTTGTCCCCTTGGGGCCAAGCTTCTAGTTGTGGGGAGAAGACAGTAGACAAGATAAATAAAAATAAGTGTATACAGGTGGTGGTAAGTGCTAGGGAGGGAGAGAAAGCAGGGAGTGGGGTTCATTTGGAATAGGCGAGTTGGGAAGGCCTCACTGAGAAGGTGAGGATGGAGCCAACACCCGAGAGAGGGAGGGAGCCAGGTGGGCTTTGGGGTTCCAGGCAGAGAGAACAGCCAGTGCAAAGTCCTCGGGACAGAAGGGTAAGTGATTGTTTGGGGAACAAAAAGGGTGCCAGGATGGCTTCTGCGGAGTGGGCAGGGGGAGTGTTAGACGATGTCAGAGGGCACAGGGCCACGTGGAGTTTTCAGGGGATGAGGTCCAGGAACTAATAGGGGATTGTAGAGTCTTTGGATTTACTCTGAGTGACGTGAAGCCACTGCTGAGTTTTGAGTGGAGGAAAGACCCGCCCAGACTCAGACTTTAACAGGATGCTTTTGGCTGCCATGCGGAGAGTGGACCGTGTGCCAAGGGTAGCAGCAGGGCGCCCAGCGCCGAGGCAGCTGTGATATTCTGGGAGGGAGATGGAGGTGGCTTGGACCTAGTGGAGTGCAGAGTCAGAGTCTGAATGTTTTGAAGGGAGAGCCTACAAGGTTTGCTAATGGATCCAAAGTGAGGAGTGAGAGACAGAGAGACACACGAAGGGCTGCTCAAGGCCGTTGTGTGGAGATGGTTCCATAAATGCTGACAGTGTGGTCTCGGACCCAGCACATGTGGTCCCCACCCAGGCTTTGGTGATCTAGCTCCAAGGAGATGCTGGGTCCATTGCGTCCCAACACAGGCTGGCTTGGGGCTTTCTGGGCCTCTCATGCCCCAAAGTGCAGGTCCCAGCAAGGCCCCGCATGCAGCATGGGCAGGAGGCTCCGTGAAATCTTGCTTGGCACGGAGCCTGGCCAAGTGGAGGGTGATGATGGTGGGCTTGAGGCCGAGGGGGCCTGCTCTGTGTCACTGCCCCCTGGGTCCCTCTAGTCTCTGACAAGCACCAGTTCAAGAACGAGCAGGTGATGTACCGCTTCCGCTATGACGATGGCACGTACAAGGCCCGGAGTGAGCTGGAGGACATCATGTCCAAGGTAGGGACCCTGTCACCCTGACTCATCATCCTGAACCCCTCAGTCACCGCAGAGCAGGCTTATGTCCCACTGGCCTCTCCCCACCCCTCCCTCTTCCTCCCCACACCTGTTCTTTATGGGGAGCCACCTCTCCCAGCAACCTGGATTTGGAGTCCCTGATCCCAGACTCCCCCTTTTTTTCTTTCAGGGTGTGAGGCTTTACTGCCGTCTTCACAGCCTCTATACCCCTGTTATCAAGTAAGTTACTCTCTGCAAATTTCAGTTTCACCTTCACTGATAACTTCACTGAGCCCCAGTCTTCTCCATCAGTTGGGGCTAATGATGACACCTCCCTGGAGGTTTGTTACTAGGGTTAAGTGAGTGTTTTGGGAAACAGTGCAGCATGGTGGTGAGTTTACCTTTAAAGACAGGAATGTTCGTAACAAAACAGAAATGGAAAGAATGAATGAGAGTTTTCCTCATCACTCAGAGGACACCAGCTTTCTATAGTCACGGTGCTGTTGACTTGGGGGCTGGGTAATTCTTTATTTGAGAGCTGTTCCGGACATCCCTGGTTCCTACCGGCTAGATGCCAGTAACCCCTCCACCTCTCGCCCGGTCATAATGGCCAGAAGTGTCTCCAGACACCGCCAGGTGTTTCTTGGGGGGCAAAGTCGCCCCTGGAGAGAGGAGACTCAGAGCCATCTGCTCCTGCCCCCTCACGCGGTCGGTGAGAAGGGGGTCTTGCACTGAGAGTGAGGTGTGGGATCCGGGCCCAGTGCTGTCCCCAGCCCCTCCCTCTGCCCCCAGGCCCAGAGAGCCTGGCACCCTTGGGTCCAGAGCACTAGGGCAGGAAAACGGCGTCTGCTCCCGCCTCTGTCCCCTCATGTGCTCAGGATGCGCTCCCTCCTCTCCACAGAGACCGCGATTACCACCTGAAGACGTATAAGTCGGTGCTGCCCGGGAGCAAGCTGGTGGACTGGCTGCTGGCTCAGGTGAGGACCGTGACCACCGTCGCGCTCTGCTGGGGACTGAGAGGCTAACGGGATGTAGTCCTTCGAGGAATTTATATTTTTTAATTTTTTTTCACTTGTGGTAGGATACACGTAACACTTGCCATCCTACCCATTCAGGAGTTTTAGGTGCATTCACACTGCCTTGCAGCCCTCCCCGACAGCCCTCTCCAGAGCTCTTTTCATCTTGCAGAACTGAAACTCTGAACCCATTGATCACTCACCCTCATCCCTCCCGCCCCAGCCCCTGGCAACCGCCCTTCTACTTTCTCTCTATGAATTTGACTGCTCTAGGCACCCTGTCTACTAGTATGTGGAGTCATACAGCAGTTGTCTTTCTGTGTCTGGCTTATTTCACTCAGCGTAATGTCTCAAGGTTCATCCATTCTGCTGCTGCATATGCCAGAATCTGCTTTCTCTTTATGACTGAATAACATTCCATGGTACAGACAGACCACATTTTATTTATCAATTCTTCAGTCAGTGGACACTTGGGCTGCTGCCACCTTAAGGCTTTCAGGTTTAAAACTGGGACCGTCCTGGGCAAATTGGGCCGGGTTGGTCTCATCCTGGCACCGCTCTGGAGCCTCCCATGTGGAACTTGCCAAGTTACTGCCTTCACATGCGTTCCCAGGGGGCAGGGGCTGGGCGAGGCTTAGCAAGTCTGTGCGTCAATTTTGCGGCAACTTCCCAAAGGTGTTAGTTCCATGGACACTCCTGTCTGCCCGTCTCTTGTCCTTTATGGCTCCCGTTCACAGGGCACTTCCTCTGCGCCAGGCACTGCCTGGGCTCTGAGCGCGCTCTCCCTGAGTCCTCCAACCCACTTGCAGCTGGGAGAGCGGCGGCCCAGAGAGGCCATGTGCCTGGTCTCGGGCACACAGCCTCGGAGCAGCAAAGCTACGGGGACTCGGACAGGCCTGTCTCACCCTCTTGTGCTTCAGTTCTGCAAACTTTTCAGGGAGCCCTCAAGAACGTTCATTCGTAATCTGTAAAAAAGAACGCATTGGCTCCAAAGATGAGGAGACGACGGCAAAATCAAAGTGGATAAATGTTTAAACATTTCCAGTTTTATGTCAACCTTCATATAGCATTCATGAAAACCCCCTTCCATTCAGAAACACTGTGCTGGCTGGATTTTCTCATGTCACACAAATTCCTGATGGCTGCCTAAAAATCACAGCAAATCTGTAAAGGAATGGTTTTCTTGGAGTCAAATACCTTCAGAAGCAAGTTTAGAAGATTCCTTTAAAATATGGTACAAGCCACAGAAACATATTTAATGTAGGATGTGGGTGCATTTTAACCTGTTTGCGCTGATGTAGGACCCAAGGTCTGGAATGTCTGGATTTAAAGTCAGATTTGCACATTTGGGAACCAGAGAACTCTATCCATTGTGCTACACCATCCTTGGGATCCCATGAAGCCAGCCCAGAGCATGTTTTACTTACAGTCAGCCCGACCTGGGTTCAAGTCCCACCTCTGCCACTTCCTAGCTGAATGATCTTGGACAAGCTACTTAGCTTCTCTGTGCCTCAGTTTCCACACCTGTAAAATGAAGCTAAAAAAAACCCGTACCTTCTCCGTTAGGTTATTTTGAGGATTCCATGAGTGGATCATTTAAAGTGCTTCAAAGGGCCCCTGGCTCTGGAGTTCACTGTCTTCACCTCTCTGCTTGGTTGTTTTTGGGCTGTGCTACCTGCGCTCCAGGGCACCCCAGACTGTGGTCATCAACTGGAGGGCCGGGGTCAGTGGGCTGGGGCAGGACAGAGCTGGGACAGGCCGGGAGCCAGGGGTGGGAGGGCACAAATCTGCCAGCTCCTGTGCTGGCTCAGCAGAAATGTGCCTGCGTACCCTCCTCACTGACCCCCACCGTCAGGCAGATGGCGTGTGCTGACCGTGGCAGGATTTTCAGTACAGGGGGCCCGGGGCCAGGGTGGGAGCAGACAAAGGGCCAGGCTGGCGGCTCGAGGCAGCGGCTGAGGAAACCGGGTAACCAGGGGCAGGACAGGAGCCTTGGCTGCAGCCCTGGGTAGCTAACCTCTTGTAGCCTCAGTTTCCCTACCTGTAGCGTAGTGTTTGAGGGAGGGTCCAGCTCTGAAAGGATCCCGTTTTCACAGTGTAACCTCAATTCTGCGTTTATCAAATGGGGTTAATAGGAGTGATTGCTTCCGGGTTACCATCAAGGCCAAGTGAGCCTGACCAGCGGTGGCCCAGTGGTTGAGCATCGCCCTATGAACCAGGAGGTCACAGTTCGATTCCCGGTCAGAGCGCATGCCTGGGTTGTGGGCTGGATCCCCAGTAGGGGACCTGCAGGAGGCAACTGATCAATGATTCTCATCATGGATGTTTCTATCCCTCTCTCTCTGAAACCATAAAGACATATTAAGAGTGAGATGGTGCAGTGCCCAGCCTGTGGTAGGTGGTGAGAGGCATCCTTGGGCATTGTGACGGGTTTCGGAATTCATGGGCAAAGGGGCCCTCTGAGGCCCTCTGTAAGTTCCCCCACGGCGTTCCCTCTCCAACCCTGCTTTGCCTCTGCTCCCTCCATTCTGAGCTATTTCTCCCTGCTGAGAAGTCACTGAGCACGAATCGCTAACATTTATCAAGTGCTCGCTACACGCCAGGCATTGGGCCAAAAGTCTCATGTGCAACATGTCCTTTAGTCCTCACAAGGCTCTGAGTGGACACAATGATTGCTCCCATTTTAGAGACATGGAAACCAAGGCAGATAGAGGTGACTTCAGGGTCGGTGTCCAAGCTGGGTTTTCCATTCTTTCATCCAGTATATTCCTCAGACATTTCTCGTGGCCCACTAATTGCTCGATACTGTGCTTCAGGGTGGGGCTGTGGGGTGACCGTGGCAGGCGCTCATGCTGCCCATGGGAGCTGACATTCTAGTGGGAGACAGACCTTAAACCAAATTTGTTTATTAGGAGATTGTGCCTGGCATGGGGTAGGCAGTGAGAGGAACCCAGGGGCAGGGAGCATTGGGTTGATCCCCCCGAGAGCAGTGCCCTGAAGGGATGAGTGACTTTCAGGCTGTGACAAGCGCAGCACAGCTGTGACTAAGGGGACCAGAGAGCAGCACTGGATGAGTATTTGTCCAGGGGATGTGGTGGACGGGGTGGGGGACTACTTTCGGGGAGTGAGGGAAAGGCCTACTCCAAGGAGGTGACATAGGTACTGAGACCTGAAAAGCCAGGGCAGGGCATTCCAGGGGGAGGAAAGAGCGAGTGCAGAGGCCTGAGGTGGGGTCACGTGAAGTGTGTGGGAGGAGCAGCAAGGAGGCCAGTGTGGCTGGGGGTGAGGGGGCAAGCCGGGGAGAGGATGGGGACGTGTTGTGGTGTGTGTGCCTGTTCCTTCCTCCGGGGAGGGAAATGGGGACTTGTGGTTTCCCCACGGATGATGGGACGTGGGGTGGGGGCTTAGTTTTCAGGTGATGGATGCATCTGGGATCAATGGATTTCCTTCTTAACCTGAGAATCCCACAGCCGTTCCAACTTAGGAGCCTCCCTGTGGGTCACTCCAGGAGCCTTCGGGGAGCAGGGGAGCAGGGATGGGCTGGGAGCCCAGACTGCGTGCCTCAGAAAGCCAGGTGGGCTCCAGACGGCTGCCAGGCCCCCAGGCTGCAGAGCTGGGCCCCGGCTGTGCCTCCCCGGCTGGCCCCTCACAGTTGGGGGGTGGCTGCTCCGGATTCCGCCTCTCTCATGGATGGCGGCCTCCCTCCCGTAGCGGGACTCTGAGCTTGCCAGTCCTGCGGCCACGGGCCCGGGGTCCCACAGGAGAGATCCGTCTTCTGTAGGCAGCTGGGTCAGCCAAGGCGGCCACATACCGAGGCCAGCACTCCTCCAGGCCCTCTGCTCTGTGTCTGAGCCCCAGTCCTGGCAGACGGAGCTCTGCAGCTCTGGCCTCACTTCTCCTGTAGCTGGGAACTCCCGCCCCTGGCCCCTCGATGCTCCCAGTGGCTGGGACAGTCCAGGCCTCTGGCGCGTCTGCGTCTGGCGAGTGCCTCTCGGAACTTCTCGCTTTGGGAGTTGTTTATTTTATTTTATTTTTTGTTTTTGCTCATCCTTTTTTTAAAAAAATTAAATGTATTGGTGTGACAGTGGTTAATACGATCATATAAGTTTCAGGAGTGGGCTTCTATGGGACAAGATGTGTATATCGCACTGTGTGCTCACCACCCGTCAGATCTTCTCCAGTCACCATGTGATAGGACCTCCCACGCTAGAAGTTGTTTAAATGAGAGGTTGTTTGAACATAGTTGAAGCTCATTGACTTGGCTGCAAGCTCCTGCATGACTTGGCCCCTGTGGACAACACCTTCAGTTAGTCAACACGTATTTATTGAGCACCTACTGTATGCCAGGCCCCTGGGATGCGGCCGGGAACACAGGCCTGCTCGCTCACCCTCTCTCTGCCAGCCGCCCCAAGCTTCTTCCCACTGCTAGACCTTTCTCGTTGTTTCCTCTGCCTGTCAGCTCTCCCCGCACCCGCAGGTCCCCTCCCCGCTCCTCATGCACACACACAACTCACACACTTTGCCTGAACATGCGGAGATTATTTAGGTTGCCAGAAGCAGATTCTGGCTAACTTCAGGAATGAAAACAGAGGAGGTGGTGTGTTGGAAGGTCATGGAGCACCCACAGAGTCAGGCGAGACCCAGGAGCCTTAGAAAGAACTGGCATCAGGGAACTCCTGTCTTCTCGGGCGCGGAGCTGAGGGGCACCGTCTGCAGGACACTGCTCTCCGGGAGAATCAGCCCCACTTGTTCCTGAGCCTGGGGTTCCTCCGCTCAGTCATGTTCCTGGGGCACCGAGCATCGCACGGCCTTCCATGGATCCTGTGCCTCAACCTGGCCTGGGGGGCGGTGGCAACCCTTGAGGGACTGTCCCACCGAGGTGACATTCTCCGTGTGAGAGTTGGCCCCCAAAGGTGAGCCCAGCACACTGGCCACACCTGGGCAAAGTCACTTTCTCGGAGAAGCCCTGAGATGAGCCAGGTCCCCTATTAAACTGTACCAGGGACAAAACCCAGTTACGCAGGGGCCTGAGCAGAAACTCATGCCACCCAATAGTCAGGCCACATATCAAGAGCCTTCCATCTTCCACTCCGTCATCCTCAGCAGGTCTGCACCTTGGTCAGGAGATCGCCCCACAACCCCTTGCGTCACTTCCTCGCGTGACTCTACCCCAGGCAGGGAGGGGCGGGCTGCTTTTCCCTTTTATCAGGGAGGAGGGGGTTATCCAGAATCGCCTGCAGGTTTCCCCAGATGTCTCATTGGCTAGAGCTAAGTCAGTTAGGAATTGAACAGAGATCCAGCTACAGAGCCTGAAAGAAATTAGGGGTTTATTTTTCTGTATTTATGAGAGAAAACCGGAGGTTGGTAGTTCAGAGCTGCTAGGGTAGCCTCATGATATCTTTGAAGACCACACTCCTACTGTGTTGTGCTTAGTGTGTTTCTGTCCTCAAGGTGTAGGATGACTGCAGAAGCTCCAGCCATCACATCTTTGTTCCAGGCAGAAGAAGAGAAAGGGAGGGCCAGGGACAAGGGGGTTTTGCCAGAGTTCCCTACCACCGATTTCTGTTTATGTCTCACTGACCACCTTTAACTACAAGGGAAGCTGGCATTGCATTTGTCTGGATCGATTCGTTGCCATCCACTACAGTGAGGGTTTCAGTCCTGCAGGCTTTGGAAAGGGTTGTTTCTAGGCAGCCAACAGTGTCTGCTACTTAAAACCTCCATTTCTCTTTTGTGGTGTTTATCACACACCACTCGGTGTGTTTATTGCAAATACAATAAAATAAGACTCTTGTTAGGGGTTTATTAATAACAATCATACACAGGTTTTGGGGGGTACCTCAGTCAATAAAACAGACACAATTCCCTGTCCAAACTAGGGGTGGGGGGGGGGCTTTTCTCCAGCCTCACACAGCCCCTTGGGTGCCAGTCCACCTAACCCCCTCGCTCCCCCTTGTTCTATTCCAGGGCGATTGCCAGACGCGGGAGGAAGCAGTGGCGCTTGGCGTGGGCCTGTGTAACAACGGCTTCATGCACCACGGTAACCACCCCTTCCCCTCTGCCCAGCCTCCGTCTGTCCTGCTGCATTTCACAGGGAGGGGAAACTGAGGCCGGAGAGAGCATGGCTGGGACCCAGGCGGTGGCGCAGAGGGATGGACTCTGGAAGGCCTGGCCGTTCCTCCTCCTGGCTTCCGCTTTGTGCTGTTACTCAGAGGTCAGCAAACTGTATGCAAAGGGCCAGACAGTAAATAGTTCAGGCGTTTCAGGCCACGGCCTCTGGCACAGCTCAGCTCTGCCATTGCAGCCGAAAGAAGCTACAGGCGATGTGTAAACAAATGGGCGCAGCTGGCTGCCGGGGAAACTTCGCTGTGGCCACAGTTTTCTTGGTCATGAGATGCATATCCTTTGCCTCTGTATCTGTGAGTTTCCCAGCTTTCTCTGGTTGATTTGTTGGAGTTTTTTTTCACATAGTCTAGATGAGCGGTTCTCAACCTGTGGGTCGCTACCCCTTTGGCGGTCGAACGACCCTTTCACAGGGTTCGCCTAAGACCGTCCTGCATGTCAGATATTTACATTACGATTCATAACAGTAGCAACACTACAGTTACGAAGTAGCAACGAAAATAATTTTATGGTTGGGTCACAACATGAGGAACTTATTTAAGGGCCAGAAGGTTGAGAACCACTGGTCTAAATAGTTATTCCTCATTGGCAGTGCTTTTTGGAGTACAGTGCACCCGAACCCCTTTCCACCCTAGGACAGATATTCTGAATTTCCTGTCCCTTCTGCAGGGTGAGAGGGCTGCCACTCACAGGAGAGGTCACCTGGTCCCTCGCCTGCCTTGTAGCCTGTAGCCCTGCTTTTAGGCCGGACTCAGCTGATTCCCAATAAGCCCATGTCCCTCTCTGGGCCTCAGTTTCCCTATCTTTTTGCTGGAGGCCTTGCTGTCCCCTCCCCTCTGAGCTCAGCAGGCCCATGGCTCTGGGCTCACTCCCCAGTTGCCTGTTTCCCCAGCTGCGAGGGCAGGTTGGGCCCAGTCTGGGCAGCCTCAGCCATTCCCGTTCATTGGCCCCGACTCACCAAAGTCCCTCATTCCCAGAAGCCGCTCTGTTCCCCGTGGGGCCCTCCAACAGCTCCGTCCCTCTTGCCAATCAGCTGGGCCGAACCTCTCATTTGTGGGTGAGAGTAATTAGGGGTCCACCCCAGCTGCTATTCTGGGAAGGCTGCTGGCTGAGGACATTCGTGTGTGTGTGGTGGGGGGTGGAGGAGGGTGGGGGGAGAGTGACTCCCAGGCAGTACCAACACTCTCAAGGCCCCTCAGGGAGAGAAATTGCAGGGTGCGGCCCCTGCCCCCCTGTCCCCTGCCACGAACTCAAAAACAGGCTAAAATAGGAAAGGGCCGAATCCTAGGTTTGTGGCTGCTGCAAAGTGCAGGTTGGGGTGCAGAGTAGAGGGTGAGGTGGGGCCTGCGTGGCGCCTCGAGGCCTCTGACCTGAGCTCACGGGACCCTGAGATGTCCTCAGGGAGGGAGCCGAGAGTCCGGTGGTCCAGCTCTCTCACTCAGGCACGTCCGGGGAAACTGAGGCTCACCACTGAATCCTCACAGCCACGTCGGGAAGGCGGTGCTGTTACTACCCTCATAGAAGAGGAAACCGAGGCTCAGAGAGGCTAAAGGGACGTGAAGTTGGGAAGGGGCGGAGCAGGGATTTGAACCTGGATCTGGGCCCATCTCACAAGGTAGGCCAGCCGCCTCAGCTGAAAGAAGGCAGTGGTGATACCTCACCTTCCTGAGCTCCTGGACCCGGAGTCCAGCCGTGTCTCAAACATTTCAGCAGAGACACAACGTCATGCCGCTTCTTCCCACATGTTTACTGTGGGGGGAAAGCCCGCCAGCCCCCTAGGGCCTGGCTCCCGAGCTCTGGGGAGAGCAGTAATTTGTGTGTCTGCTCTCTCGAGAGGTAAGAGGGGTGGCCTGAGAAAGAAGCTCACAAACAGCTAGACGTCCCGGAAAGGGAGGAGGAAGGAGGGCAGGCTGCCTGCTGCTTTTCTTTCGTTACCACACCGGCTGGCAGCCTCTGTCTTCCGGGATGGCAGGGACTGGGCGAGGCGAAGGCCAGTGAGGTTTCCTTCTCTCGGGCCCCTGATATCCTGCAGCAGCCTTTACCAACCTGAGCTCTGATGTGCCTCCTTCATGTAATTTGTCCCTGCCTCCCTCTAGCAGGCCAGGCTGGGCAGCATGGTGAAAGGAGGCACTCTGGGACCTCGGTCAGTGTATTTAGCTTCTCCGGCCTCAGTTTCCCCATCTGTCGAAAGGGTGCAGCAAACCCTTCCTTGCCTGAGGAGTAAGTGAATCTGAGCCGCCATCCATGGTGAGCCTCCAACTAGTAGGTGCTTTGTTACGTTGTAATTCATAGGGACCAGGTCACATACTGGTACTGACTGGTTGTTTTTATTCATTTTCCTGGCTTGTCTTAGAACAGAGGTCAGCTTTTTTCCTGCGAAGGCCCAGCTAGTAAAAGCGTTAGGCTTTGTGGGCCATGCAGACTCCTGCAATGATTCACCTCGGTCACTGTGGCACAAAAGCAGCCCCAGACAATACGTGGATAAAGGGCTGTGGCTGGGTTCCAAGAAAACTTCATCTGTGGAAGGAGGCCGTGGGCTGGATCTGGCCCGCAGGGCCTGAGGCGGGCAGCCCCGGTCTGAAGAGTCCCCCTGTGGCCTCTTTCCGGTCATTATGGAAGTGGAGCGCCTGTTCACATGTGTGATGCCCATTTGGGTTTACCCCTCTGTTAGTCGCCCATTCATGTCCTTCGCCCTTTATCTATGAGGTTCCCAGCCTTCGCCGGTTGATTTGTTGGAGCGTCTTGTATATTCTAGATAGTTATCCCCTGTTGGTTTTAGACATTACGGTGCCTTTTGTACCTGCTGTCTGCCTGTGGCCTTCTTGTTGAAAGGAAGTTATAGTGCTTTTTGGAGGGTTTGAACCTGCACCCCCTTTCCACCCTAGGACAGAGATATCCTCCTGCATTTTGTGTGGTGAGTTTTAGTTTTCCTGTTCATATTTAGGTCTTTAATCCATCAGGAGCTTATTGTGGTCTAAGTGTGAGTAGGGATCCAATTTTATTTCCATCCCCCGCAAAATGGGTTCCCTGCACCATCTGGAATTCTCCACGTGGTCATTCATCATCCATCACATACTAAGTTCCCGTAAACACACGGTCCTCTTATGTGATTTCTGTTCTCTTCCACGGGTTCTTCATCTGTGTCTGCAGTAGTTCCATGCTGTCTTGGTTACTCTGGCTTTGCAATATGTCTTTATAGCAGGCGGGGGCAAGTTCAGATTTTTCAAGAGACAACAGAAAGCCAGACTTTTATGTGAAAGATCCTAATATGTTAGTGTTGGCACATGATTCCATTGAATAAAACACGGTGCTGGCCAAACCAAATGTGTCCAGGGGCTGGTTCCGGCCCGTGGCTGCCAGTTGGCACGCGGCCGAAACCTTCCCACGTGAGCCTGACCATGTGCTTGTGTGTCTGTGGGTTTGCAGTGCTGGAGAAGAGTGAGTTCAAGGATGAGTCGCAGTACTTCCGCTTCCACGCCGACGAGGAGATGGAGGGGATCAGCAGCAAGAACAAACAGCTTCGCAACGACTTCAAGCTGGTGGAGAACATTCTGGCCAAGCGCCTGCTGGTAGGAGCAGAGCTGAGCTGCCGCGTCTTCCTTCCCAGACCCACCTTCTGATATGGCTTCAGATGTGGCTGGAAGACCTTCAGATGCGGGCTCAGCTTGGAGCACCCCAGAGTCTGGGTGATTCTAGGTGGCGGCTGGCATCGCTGCCAAGAGGCCAGGTCACTTCACTGGCCAAGACTACCTTCCTCACAAAAGAGATCGGGCTGTCTAGCTTTTCCTTTCCATCTCCCCTTGTCCACCCTCCATCCCAGCCTCACATTTGCAGAGAGAATGGCCTCCTGAGATGACTCACCCTGCAGAACAAAGCCTTAGTTTTCCGGGCTGGCACCCCGTCCATCCCGTTGCTGTCAATGTCCTTGCAGTTGAGGTAGAACATTGATGTGCAAACCCTAAGATGTTAGTGCTGGCAGCCTGTTCGGATAGTTGGCCTGCCAAGCCCGCCAGGTCCTGTTCCTCTGCTTACTGTGAGCAGCAGCCTTCATCTCAATGCCTGGACCCCGTGTCTCTTGAGCAATCAAGAGACAGCTCAGAGAGATTAGGTCTCTTGCTGCAGCCAGAGTTGGGGCCAAATTCTGAATACTATGGAGACAGCTCCATTGATTTCTCTCCTGCAGTACTTCTCGGGTTGCTTTTTCTTGCACTTCCTGTTTCTCCTACTATAAAGCCCTCCCATGCTCCCCGTCACCCTTAGATAAAACCCAGTCTCTTGTGGCCTACAAGACTCTTCCTGCCTCTCCAGCTTCCTCTCCTGTTCTCTCCCTTTCCTCGCTCCACCCCAGCCACTCTCATCTGCTTTTTATCCTCCAGTACCTTGGACCTGACTCAGGGCCTTTGCACATGCTGTGCCCTCTTCCTGGATCCCTGTCCTCGTTCTTTATATAAAAGTTCTGTTCCTCACTTCATTCAGTCTTGGCTCACATATCGCCTTTTCTGCCCATGTCACACCATGTTCTGTCCTTTTAAGTGCTTTATTTTAATTCAAACTTCATACACTTCCTTTGTCATATTCTATATCTGTTTCTCCTCCCCCACTAGATAGCTGCATGAGGGCAGGAACTGTCTGTCTTGTTCAATACCGTTTCCAGCGCCCAGTGAAATACCTGACCCATATAATAGGCAGCAGCTCAGCAGATAATGGTTGAACGTGTAAATGTGTTTCCCTGTGGCCCCCCACCCCGAACCCCAAAGCCTCCCAAGCTGCCTGCCAAGTTCTTGGTGGCTGGACACCTTTAGATCTAGTTTGTTCATTAGGCCAGTACATTTTTAAGAAAATAGGTTTTTATTGATTTCAGAGAGAGGAAGGGAGAGAGAGAGAGAGAGAGAGAGAGAGAGAAACATCATTGATGAGAGAGAATTATTGATCGGCTGCCTCCTACATGCCCCTCACTGGGGATCAAGTCTGCAACCCGGACATGTGCTCTGATTATGAATTGAACCGTGACCTCCTGGTCCATAGGTCGATGCTCAATCACTGAGCCACACCGGCCGGGCTAGACCAGTGCATTTTTATTGAGCACCTACAGCATGCCAGCAGGTGGGAGACAGTGGTGCATGACTGAGAGACTGTCCTTAGGTTGGGAGGAGAAAGAGGAGACAGATGATGAAAAGTAAACACGAAATCAGCACTAGATTGAGGTACGAGCTAGGTGGTGTGTCTTCACAGATAGGTATAGAGCGCCTACTGTGTGTCCTGGGTGCTGTGTATTCTGTTCCGTTATACTCCTCACCCCATACCCCTCCCCCATGTAGATCTGGGGCCTGAGGAGCCAGTAGGGTCACAGTCGTTTGGGGCCAAGGCAGGGCTGGCTCCAGGCCTCCCTCCTGACTCCACTGCCTCACCGGGTCTCTCCTACTTCGGGCCCACAGATCCTGCCCCAGGAGGAAGACTATGGCTTCGACATCGAGGAGAAGAACAAGGCCGTGGTGGTGAAGTCGGTCCAGAGGGGCTCTCTGGCCGAGGTGAGGCCTCTCGGAGGGGCTGTGGGAGTCGGAGAGTGAGGCGTCTCTCTACACATTCCTTGAGCAGGTGGCAA